GAAATGAGTAATACAACACGCTAGAAGTAGTAGTCGAGCAGAATAGACAACTATGAAAGTGATGCTTACTATACTTTGGCTTCGTACCCATATTCTTCACCTCCGTCCTTTAAGTATTTTGATCAAGGATCCCGTAGGCAACGTCTCTTCAGTTCTGGCTTCGATGTCCCCAGCACCAAGCATATGAACAGGACTCCGCATGCTACCCTTGTCTCTGAGTTTGGGCAAGAGCATCGGGGTGGTGGGACCACTTGTCTTTGGCGCTGTGGGCAGCGCATAGGCATGGTCCTCGTCAGGAACATGGGGATCTTATAATACCTACCCCACTACAAATAAGGCCTAGTCTGAGAGACAAACTGAGCCCTCAACCAACAGCGAGCCAAGGGCAGAGCACTTATTCTCCTTAATGGCCTGCAACTCACTGAGCACAGGGTTACTGGTTGGTGCAGGTACTCTCTGGGGTAGTGAAGAGTCTGGACTGGCAGGGGCAGGTGAGGAGGACATCCCATCTGGGCGGTGGTCCTGTGATTTCAGGGCAGAGGGTGTGGCATCAAATGGGTGAAGGCTACCCTTTGGGTTGGGCAGGATTTGCCGCCGGGGGGGGGGGGGAAAAGGAGGGCGCCCGAAAAGGGGGGGGGGGGGGGGGTCGGGGTTCACAGCCTGAGCTCGTTGGCCACTTTGGAGGCGATGTTTTTGAAGGCGATGGACGTGCCGGAGATCCGCTTGAAGCGCACGCCGTTGAGCGAGAGGCGGGGCAGCTTGCACACCTCCATCTCCCACTGCACCAGGCTGTCCTGCCGCGCGTCGCCGTGCACGCAGAACAGCGAGTAGCGCTCGCGCTGCTCGTAGTCACAGTTGTTGGCGTCCAGGACCCTGCGGATCTCCTTCATGATGTCCCCCGGCTCCATGGAGGACGTGGTCTTCATGCTCCAGGTGAAGCGCAGGGCGCGCGGCTTGGACTCCCGGCACTCCTCTTTGGGCTCGCCGGACAAGCTCCTGGAGGACGGAGAGAGCGAACGAACACGCCGACCGCGTTAAAGGCGCCGGTTCACACATGACAACGTTTTTTTACCCCCCTTGAGTGAGCTGGATGGAAAACCAAGAACTGCCATTTACTGACTGATTTTAATTTCCTTAAAATTCCCCTTAAAGCGATAATACAGTTTAGCAGACGTTGGTAAATCCGGATGGACGCCACCTTGTGACCGAGCTTAAGACCCGTCAGAGATGCAGAGGAACACGAGACAACTGATCATTCTGAACATGCAGCCATGTATCTTCATCATTTGGGCTTCATCAAAATAAAGAAAATACGAAACCACTGAAAACAAAAGTCTTTGCTTATCTTCAAAAAGAGAGAAGTGCATTCAACATTTGGCATCCTGGCTCTTACTGACCTGCGTGCAAACTTGGAGGTGATCTTCCCGATGAGGGAGGCGGAGGTGCCGCGGCGGGGCGCGGCCAGGGAGGCGGCGGTGTGCGTGGACAGGCTGGGCGAGGCCGGCGGGCCGTTGTAGGTGGCCGAGCGGCGGTCTCGCAGCTGAGCGCCGTGGAAGGTGGAGCGGCTGGAGGAGCCGCGGGGGAAGCGCGTCCGGTCCGGGGTGGCGGTGCCGCTGCTGCTGGTGACGCTGAAGGTCGAGGGAGACGACGGAGGAGGCTGCTGGGCGGAACTGCGTGGGGGAGGGCGGGGCGGGTAGAGCGCAGTGTCAGGACGACAGGGCGAAAACGTTTCCGTGGTTACGCTGAAACGAATCCACGCCCTGCTGCCCGGCTCACCTCTGATACTCCACGTTGTCGTCGATGGGGGGCAGGCAGGACTTCATGGGGTGTCCCGACGCCGACATGGACTTGACATGACGGGGACGCGCCGACGAGACGGTTGCCCCCGGCGACGGGGAGGGGGACCCAGCAGGCACCTCGGGGAGACTGAAAGCGGAGACGGGTTTGTCGAGCGATTTGGAGGATAGAAAAATAAAAAATAAAATAAAAAACGAATTCCCAGAATCCCTCTCACCTGCTGTCCTTCCCGTTGGAAACAGCAACCGAGTGACGATCGGCGCTCGTCCTCTCGTGGACATACGTGTTTCTCCTTGTTATGTTCTGCAACACACATGAAGTTTAGTTCAGCTGATCCAATGACGCGACAGTATGAATGCCTGACCCCGCCCCCTTAGCGCCTTGTACGGCGCCCCGGTTCCGAAAACAATAAGATCCTCTCACCCCTGAGGCGGTGGCCGACCTCCTGCGGTCCGGCGCTCGTATGGGGGACGCCGCCTCGTCCTTCCTGTCGCTCTCTACGCTGTTGGCGTGACCACGCTTGGTGTAGCAGACGGGTGGGGGGATGGAGGGCGCCACTGAAACGCAGACGTCATTCAAATATCCGCTGTTGGTGCGCTTTCGAGCGACTGAGTCCCGGGCGCACAGGAAAACTCACCGTGGTCGCTGAAACGCCGCTGCTTCTGATTGGCCGAAGAGTTGCGAGAGTGAGCGGGGGACTGACTGGAGCCGTTGAGGTCGCTGCTGGGTCGCGACCTTTGAACCAGGTTACCGCTGGACAGAGAGTCGCCGGCTTCGCACTGGCGGAGAGAGAAGTAACAAAAAGGATTCTGGGTAAAAGTTGGTGCAAGGAGGATTTATCCTCCAGTGATGGAGCTAGGCTAACAGTTCCCCCCTGCTTCAAGTCTTTGTGCTAAGCTAGGCTACACAAGTGACTGAATAGAGGAGAACAGCATGTGTACATGTCACAAACCTCGGCGGCTTTCCTCCCCAGCAGCAGGTATATCGCCGTCACCTCGTTGTACTTCTGACCGTCCAGCGCCTTCATCACTTCCTCTCGAGGGAAACCCATCGTCCCCATCAGCTCTGATTGGTCAGAAAACAAACATCACGCACAGCTTTGGTCAATGTACCGATGCTCGCCACATGAACATTCTTCATTTAGCGTGTTAGCAAGCTAACGTCAGCTGATTCAATAGCAAACATACCACAGTTGTCAATGTAATGTAATGTAACAATCTGTCCACTTTGGTGACTTTGTGTGAAAGAATTGTAGTGTGTGTGTTACCGATGCGTTTGAGGTCGTTGAAGTCCTGCTCCGGTTCGTTGTACGTTTTTAATTCCTTTTCGTCGTAGCCGACGTTCATCCATCGATCCTTCATGATTTGCTGGGAAAATAAACAGGAGCTGTTCATGCAAATCATAATTACGCAAATTTAGTCGGTGGATTTGCGCCTCCAGCTTTTATTTTGAAGGACGACACGTGCGGGTTGGAAAGATTGAATGTTGAGGTTTTTCTAGCGGCAGGTTGCGGGTTCCACTCCCTGCGGCTGGTCTCACCTGCAGGCTGCCTCGTTTCCCCGGGTTGAGCACCAGCAGCTTCTTCAGCAGGTTCTCACAGTCCGTCGACATGTAGAAAGGAATCCGGTACTTTCCTCTGAGAACACGCTCCCGGAGCTCCTACACACACACATACACAGACACAACACAATGCTGTACATCCTATATTTGGGAGTTGAGTCATTTGTGTTTCTATTATTTTGTCCACACCTTGAGGTTCTGTCCGTCGAAGGGCAGCGAGCCGCTGACCAGCGTGTACAGAATCACTCCCAGACTCCAGACGTCCACCTCCGGCCCGTCGTACTTCTTCCCCTGCAGGGTTACAGGACTACATTACCCAGCAGCCCACTGCCACACTACGCGTCACAGTCAGAACGGTGCTGCACGCTCACCACAAGGCCGAGATTGATTTATAGATTGTGATTAAAGAGACATTTTCATCTGGTTTCATCTTAAATTTTGCTGAGAGTAAATATCCTCTTTTCACAATAAAAGTTCTCTCTCATCTTCCCTTAGTTTGATCAATAAAAGATGAAACATTTAAAGTTTTCACAGCATTATGGATTATTGTTATCTTATCATTTGACCTGCTTTCTTCCCATTTTCTCAATCTTACCTTTCCGGAGGACAAATATGTGGCATTAACTTATACTAAAAGGTTATCTGGAATGAGTTGGTTAGCTCTAAAGTAACAAGGCGATGAAACAGAATGTTATGTTGACGTGTTGGTTATGCAGGTGCGGTGGGCGGAGCCAACTGGTCACCTGGAAGAGCTCGGGAGCAGCGTAAGGAGGAGATCCACAGAAGGTGTCCAGCTTGCTGCCCAGCGTGAACTCGTTACTGAAGCCAAAGTCTGCGATCTTAATGTTCATGTCGGTGTCCAAGAGAAGGTTCTCAGCCTGAGAGACACACACAAGAGTATTTAACGTTAAATTGAAATAAAAAATATTTTAGACCTAACATATCCATAGTCCTTTTTTCCCCCCCCAATTTTTTTTAAACTTATTTTCCCATGACATTTTTCCACCTTACATATTTGTACTAAATATTTTTCGACCTAATATTTTGTATTTTCCACAACGATTCTAGGCAACGTAATGTTTTAAAAACTCTTTTCAACCTTATATGTTTTGACTTTTTTAAAAACATTTTGCGACAGATTATTTTTTGACTTTTCTTCCATGACATTTTTCCACCTTAGATATTTTGACTTTTTTTAATAAAATATTTTTGACTATATATATATATATATATATATATATATATATATATATATATATATATTTTTTTTCCCATGATATTTTAGAAGCAACATATTTAAAACCCCTTTCAACCATACATCACTTTTCTTTTTTTATAATATTGTTACTTTTTTCCCCAAGATATTTTTGACTCTTCCCACATAACAAAAAAATCTTTCCACATAATATTTCCATGACTCTTTTGCAAGTTAGAAGCCAAAGCCGACATTAAAGCAGCATGTAAAATTGACAAAAACAACGAAATAGAAGCCACTCAAAAGTCAAACTGTGGACAACACACAGTCTTTAACAGAATTATGTGTAATATAATTCAGTAATTTCACTCAGTGTTTGTATTAATAAATTTATAACAGAAATACAATATTATATATAATGTAATGTAATTAAAGTTCAAATATTTACATCTTTCTTCTGTGTGTGTGTGTGTGTGTGTGTGTACCTTAAGGTCCCGGTGAACGATCCTTTTCTGGTGACAGTATTCCACTGCAGACACAATCTGACACAGTGATAGAACAACAAGAAGAAGTCAAAATGAAACAACACATACAACGTTCATCACTTGGTTCTTACCACAAGCGAAAATAACAGTGGAGAGATGATTTAAAAAAAAAAGATAAAATGTGTAATGTTTCTTTAACAGCCGCAGCGTTTGTTGACCGCGGCTCATTAAGCCGCTACGCTGATGGACCACAAGGGAACTAATGGGTTTTATTGGCGGTTACACCAATGCAAGCGGTGGTATTTAGTATTTATTCCAATTTTATTCTCCACTTTACAGGAGAGCTTACACCTACAACCGCCAGGCCATCAAGACGAGTTTCATCCGCCCCGAACGCACCATTTAACAACTTAAATGGACACAGTGCATTATGGGTAATGCAGGAAAACGTAGTGTCGTAGATATAAAATAATATCACCTGGCGAAACTTGGCTCTGGCCTCCTTCTCCTTCATTCGTCCGTGAGCAACAAGGTAGTCAAAGACTTCACCTGTTACAGACAGGACAGGTAAGCAGACAGACAGGTAAAAAGACAGACAGGTAGGCAGACAATCAGGTAAGCAGACAGGACAGGTAAGCAGACAGACAGGTGAACAGACACCTCTTGCTAAAAAATGATGAACTATAAAGATCATACAGAGGCCACACTGCTCGTGTTTACCGTCAGAGGTACTAGTGTTTATGTGACAAAGACAGACAGGTGGACAGAAGGGGGACAAACAGGTGGAGACGGTCTTACCTCCACTGGCGTACTCCATCACCAGGTAAAGAGTTTTCTCCGTCTCAATAACTTCAAACAGCTTCACTGAAAATGACAGCATCACGGTATTAGTGCCGCCGAGTACTGAGCACGGCTAAAGGAGGAGGCGCAGGAGAGGGGTGGAGGTGGGATGGGAGGGAGGTGGAGGAAAGGGGACAGGAGGAGAAGCAGGAAGAGGAGGATGAGAAAGCGGAGGAAGAGAAGGAGTGCAAGCTGTTTGTGGAGGATAAGGAGAAGGAGTCGGATGCTCACCGATGTTCGGGTGGTTGAGGATCTTCATCACACTGACCTCCCTGAAGAGCTGAAGAGACGATCACAACCAACAATCTCAACCAACAATCTCAACGACTCTTTGTTCATTCAAAATCTCCATGATGTTTTTCTGATCATTAATGAGCTCATAAAGCGAGAAGTTATCAATAGCTGGTTTTTAGTTGGAGCACAATAACAGGTGGAGGTGAGAGGGGGGCCGAAGTCTGAGGCATCGCGTCCTTGAAGTGACGTCATGCTGCGTTCACTTCATGTGGGGATTTTTTGCGTCCCCACGGTTGTTTGCAACAAATGTCTTAACGTGAACATTTGCTCAAATACACAATTTAAGAACAATTTGGAGGCGACTTTTGGTTTAGATTTTTATGGGTATTTTATAGTTCTAGTAAGTGTGGGAGGTCAGAGGTCAGAGCGTACCTTCTGCAGACTGGTGGGGTTCAGCTGTGTTTTGTCGATGATCTTGATGGCGACCTGCAGAGCGGAACAGAGCAGCCGATTGGACGGCTCAGGATCGTAAAACGCATCTTAAAAATAAGTGGGAAGGAAAAACGAGTCGCACGCGCACACACTCTCGTTTGATGGTCTGACCAATCGGCTGCGAGCTGCTGACGTCTGCAGCATTAATAATTAATCCTGAGGCGTTTCCAGCTGATTTCACCGCACCGACTCCCTGACTGGGTCTGACGCTGTATCGGGAAGTTAAACCTTACCCCTAAGAAGGTGAAAGGCAGCGGGAAATGATCAACTGAAAAGATTATCCTGGATACATGATGCACCTTGTTGTATAATGCTAGAATTTAAATCACACTTCAGGGTCTGAGGATGTGTGACGGTTCTCGTGTTAAAACAGTGGCAGCCATTAAAAATAGAGTATAGAGGAGAAAACTAAATTTGTGATGAGACAGATTATTTTTGGTTTATATTCTCAGACTTGACAAAAACCCAAAGGCCCCTAATCCCGACGAGATGCAGTAATTGCCACATTTTCTGCATTAAAAGTATGTGTTTTGCAGTGACATACGTGCGTGACTGAGTTTATACCAAAAGACCTCATCGTCTCCATGATGCTGCTGCTGCTAAAGGAGCTGAGGAGGATTCATCTAAATCTCACCTCTCGGCCCGTCAGAGTGTGTTTGGCCAGTTTGACTTTGGCGAAGTTGCCCTTGCCGATGGTCTTCAGCAGGCGGTAGTTGCCGACGTGCGGCTGTTCGTCCGCGACGGACGTGCCGCGGCCCGGCGGCAGACTGTGGCGGCTCGACGATTTGGTGGGCGGCGCCGGCGGATCGGGGAGGCCGTCCGAAGTCTTTACCTGTGAGAGACACAAACTGTTATTGTAAAACATTTAGCTCATTGTGACTCCTCTGGGTGCCCCGGGCGGCGGCGGGGTGCCACAGGGAAGCGTACTCGGACCTCCAGTGTTTATGACACAGCAGATGATTCCACTCACAATATAGTTGTTGTTGTGTTTGTGGTTTAGATTTAATAAACTGGTCCTAAACCAGAGCTCTTAAGACATTTAATGAAGGTGCTAATATCTACGAGCAGCTTCTAAATGTTCAGAGCAGAGAACTGCGGAGGCTGCAGCGCCGTAAAATGAGCTTCTGATTTGGGTGCAATAATCAGATCAATGATAGCAGTAAAATCATCTAAAATGCTGTTGAGCTACAGAGGTAACAACTAATGGGTCGGAGGTCAAAGGGTGAGGCTGTGAATGAAATTCTTATTAGTAAAATAATACAATACAAGCATCAGCTGTCTCTAAATGACTATATATAGTATCTAAGCAAACTTCAACGGGTCAGGTTTACTCTTGATGGATGTTTTTGCATCTCTGGTGCTCCAGATACTTAAATTGAGAAGGACTAAACCGGACAGCAACCTCAGGCTCTGAAAGTGAAGCCATGAAAAAGTACCTGAAACCTGCGAGTTCTCTGGTAGACGTCTAAATGTCTCTACTCTCTTGATTTATTCTCTCAGTAAACAGCGTAAACATGAGTTGGTGGTCTCAGTCTCTAGTTCAAAATCTTCTTCAATAAAGCATGAGGTTCATTTAGTAAATTATGGACCATTTAGCGTCACATGGACTATAAAGAAGTTCATGCTAAAGGGCGGGGCTAACTTCATCACGCAATTGTCCGGTCTGGAAGGTGTTCATGTGTTCTTCTTTCACCCTTTGACTGTGTTTTCAAGTGACGTCTCCCTCCGTGTCCAAAGAGTTAGATGTTCAGGCCTGTTGGGTTTGATGCCACGGCGAGCATCTGGTTATCTTAGCTTAGCATAAAGCTCAGTCTAAAAAGGTACTACAAGCCCCTTTAAAGCTTACTGATTAACGTGCTACGTGTCATTTGTTTAATCCGTACAACAACAGAAGCTTAAAAACAGCAGTTCGTCCCTAGACCGTCGCCGTGGTTTCAGTCCGGGACGCTCCCAACAGAGTGAACCGTATCCACGGCGACGGGCCGGGGGTGGGGGGGCGTGAGATTAAACTGGAGCCGATGGTTACCAGTCCGACGGCGTCTGAACCGGCTCTAGTGTTACACTCCGGCGTGGCCGCACTGCGCCGCCGCTGACTGACACCCGACACCCTCCGAAGGACATGATGTCATACTCGCTCAACCGATCGGGTTCTGGGAAGAAAACCTGAAACTGATCGGGTGTCAGAAGCCCGGTGGCGACGACTATGTGTAGAAAGATTCGGTTTGGAGAAGCACGGTACTAGTACATTTATTAAAGTACAGATTCAAGGTACTTTACTGGGCTACAGCCATTTTCAGATACTTTATACATCTGCCGCAGCACAAACGTTGTACTTTTTACTCCGTTACATGGTGTTAATCCTGAAACTGAAGCTGAATAAACCGTTAAAAAGCCTCTTGGATCAGCTGTTACAAAGCAGAGAACAGGTGGTTTGTTTTTACCAGGTTCTCACCGGACAAACATGCCGCCGATCTCACAGATCATGATTTAGATTCAACTCGACAACAGCATAAATAGGAGCCAAAAATATCCACAGCAGTAAAAATGAATCAAACATTGATGCCGCAGTAATATTAATCCAGACACATCATTATGTAATCCCAGAAACACAGACAGCGAAACGTTTACTGCACAATATTAAGATGTGGAAGAATCTTCCCAACAGTTGCGGTACAGTGAAACTCTAAAATCACCTAATTGGGACACACATGATTTTCGGGGATTGCGACATCATATAAAGTTTTGGGCAAAGATGCTGTAAACAGATCATATTATGAATTGTGTGCGGGGCTGAAGAGACACAAGTCGAAATCCACTTAATATTTAACCTTGATGATATGTTGTTTGATAGAAAGCTCAATTCTGGATAGATTTAACTGAGAGAGACGTTCGTGACTCAAACCGCCGGAGAGTCGCTGCGCTGACCAGAATGTGTCATGAGGATTATCACCGGGCCGTTTAACAATAAGAAGGCCATTGCTGCCCCGGAGTTCTCATTCTAAAGTGACGTCTGTTCACATTGACGCATTTCACGAGTCTCATCTTTGTGTTTCCTCTTTCCTCTAAGAGCATAAAAGGGATTACAAGATCATCATGGTGACAAGAGGTGGAACCATTTCCAGGTCGAACGAGGAGCGAGTACGCAAACCGACCACATCACCATCAACCACACACACACGCGCACACGCACACACGAGAGATCAGAGGTCAGAGTTCAGGGACTGGTTGGGACTGCCTAGAAGGGTGGAGGTGGACTTGAGTCCTTGTCTCATCCCCAGGGAGGGTGGGGTTCCACTCCCACCCGGGGGGGTCCCACAGTAAGCCTATCTGTTGCCATGGCGACCGAGAAAGCCTCCGGCAGCTGATTTCACAGGGATTCATTCACTGGGGAGGTTCTCTGTGTGCAGGGAGATGACCTCCATGCTGTCTGCGTGATGGACGCAATCATCGGGGAGGGTCAAAGGTCACACCAACAAGGGAGGGGGAGATTGTTTTTTTTTTTTAATCGCCTCGGAGACAGTGACTGTAAAGCTGTCGCGTCAGGGTTTGGGATTTTTAAAAAGGTGACTTCAGGAGGAGCAAAAGACCGCTCCTGATATCCTTTCCTGCAATGTATTCTGGGAGCGATCAATAGCAAACAGACAGCAGGAGCCAGCTGGGATTACAGGAAACAAAGACATGACCGGGCAGCAGGTCGGCACGTGCTTTGGATAAATATGTACATGGATGTAGAGAATATATATATATTTAATGTGTTCGGCGATTACGGCAGAACAACTGAAATAGTTCAACAAAATGTATATTTATTGTTCATTATTTTCAAGCATACACCAAATCATGAAATGTGAGGCTTTACATTTTTGTTTTTCACTTTTATTTCTTTTTATATTACGTCCGAGTTTATCGCTGTAATGAAAAAGACACTTAAAGTCTTTAGTTAGCGAAATATTGTAAATTATGAAATCAATCAAGACCCTATTAATGAACACAGTGGGCGATGCGTAATTGATTGGTACACACATCACTACATAAGTTCTATGACGCCGACGCAGTGAGACTCTACGGGGTGACGATGAGGACGTGCATGAGCAGCCTGAGAACAGCTCTGCTAGCATTCCAGCATTAGCATGACAATAAGGACGCGGCTTTTACCCAGAATTCCTTTGGGGTTCACCAGCTTCCACGGACCCAAAACACTCACGCGATGCATAAATACATCACACTGCCGAGGAAGAGGAATAAAACACCAACACCACGACAGGCTGCAAGACCTCGGCTACGCAGTTCATCAACTTGCTTCAAATACTCTCCAGTAAAACGCTGGGCCGGCTGTAGTAGATCATTAATAATAAAAACTAATATCTGTTTAGCTTCCTGCTACATGAGTGTTTGTATGGCGCCAATACGGTTTGTTTCCGTCCTGCAGCGCCGGGTATCGGCCGATTCACAGAGTATTGATCCGCTGCTGGTGCTCAAATCAATAAACTGTGTCCTGGGATGGTTCTTTAAAGAGTGATGCAACACCACGCCTGAGGTGAGAATTGGTTACTTGACTTTGTAAAACTAAATGAAAACAAATGGATAGAAATGTATTGAACTGTGATCCATTTTCAAAATGATGAAACTGCACATGTTTGTAATGAAACGTACAGGAATTACAATTTGATTTCGAACCATTTTGAAAATTCTGCAACAAAAATTCTAGTACACAAACAAAGTGGATCGAAAAGATCGGCCTCAGAGACCAGATCCCGCCACGTGAGTCGGCCCGATATCGATGAATTCCTTTGTATCGTTCCAAATATTAAAGAATTAAAAAATGTACTGCTGGCTGGGGAAGATTATCAATAATCAAAGCAAATATTTATTCTACTTCTCAGCTGTGAAGTAGCAGTTAGCTTCTCGCTACATGACTCCACAAAAACAGCCCCAAGCAGATTACTTCTACTACTATCCTTCTGCAGTAAGTACTTGGCCCTTTTACTGGGAAAAACAGTAGTAACACACAATGGTGTATAAATACTCTGACACGTTAAAGTGCTGCATTGGAACATTTTCTTTTAAACACCAGACACCTGCCACTCCTTGCACAGCACCTGAATCTGGTGCTAAGCGGTCAGCAGGAGACCGTTGCATTGTGGGTAATGTAGTCGCCATGTTTTGACACAAGTGATGCAGCTGAACCAAAACTCTTTGGATAACTTTTCCCTTCTTTTTTTTCTTTTACTGAATATCTTACAGGAGTGTGACGATGATAAATAAGTCGAGCACTCGATCTGGTTTCCAGGCCAAGTGAAGGACTCCGGGTTTAAGTTGTGTAGTTATTTGGGTGCACTGGCCCTTTAAACGTCTCCCTGCAGTCGCTGCTGGGACATTAAGCGGGATAGAGGACATCCTCAGAGACACTGAACTTCAGCTATGTAACATTTAGCATCACTGTGAACCGATCTGCTGAGCCACCGGGGATCGATCAAGCTGATCACCCGGTATCTCCTCCCTGTTCACGCTGTCACATCAACAACAAGAACTATTACATCAAACCGATACGCGAACAGTCAATGGCGACACCGCCACGAAACGCCGTAAATAATAAAAAACACTCAAACTCCATCAATAATCGATAATCAGCGGTTGACGTACCTGCTCGGGCTCCCTCTCGCTCACCGGGGTCAGCGGCATCCTGCCGGACATCTCCCTGCTTCCCTTTCCGCGGCTTTCGGGTCTCTCGTCAGTCCGGATGAAGCATCCCCTCCGCCGGCCGCTCTACAGCATCGCTCCCCGGGAACCAGGCCACCTCAGCGGGGCTCGGCTGCGAGGCTCCGCCGGCCGGAGGGCGAGCGAGCGAGGCCGGGGCGTCGGCTACAGGAAGGCCCGCTGTCTGCGCTGGCGTCCGGCGGGTGGGGGGGGGGAGACTCGCATGGAGACAAAGACGGCGCGCAGATGAGTGGGGGGGAGAGAGAGAGAGGAGGAAGACGAGGAGGAAGAAGTGGAAGGAGACTCGAGCAGCGTGAAAGTAGAGGTGCTTCCGGCAGCCCGCGGCGGTTCGTCGGCTCGCGCACGGCGGCAATGCGGAGCTACGGAAAACACCACATTAAAAGTGTGACGTCAGAGCTCCGCCCACCCGTCATCCTCGTCCTCGGCGCCGTCCTCCTAAATAAATCCCAGCATGGTCCCCCATAAAAACATTGTGCTTCCGTATTTTAATTGTATTGTCTGCGTCGTTGCGTCGACGCACTCGTTTCAATTCATGGTTCTAAAAGTCTCGCGTGTGTTGCAGAGCAGTTCACCGCCAGAACAACAGGCGGAGTGACGTGTTTTTGTTGAAGACGACCCAGAGAGTCACGTCTGTTTATTTATTTGTTTATTTATTTATCATAGACTTTATTGCGCCGTGCATCGCCACTGCTGCTTTTCATCAAGGACACATTTGTCCCGTATTTTCCGTATTTTCCTGCGCTTCCTTGCGTCGCTCTGAAAACGCAGACGCATAAACGAGGCTTAAGAAACCGGTTTGTTTAAAGGAGCGCTTCATATGTTCACCAGGGGCAGGTCCTCTTCACCGACTCCTGGGAGCTTTTTTTTTTTTCATCTCCACGTCACCAGGGGTCCGTTTCAAGGAGGATGTTTAAACAAAGGTCTGAGTCAAACCCTAAACTCTGAGAAAATTGGAAAAAGTCCCAATATAGTTTTGTCGGTTAATATTTAATGAACACACTAATCATAATCCATACGTTTTACTAATTCCCAGTGGGAAAATTACATTTTTTTACCGTTTGTTAGAATCAGAGCTGCCAACTTTTCAAAAAACCTTGGAGTGAGATTTTGTCGGGGGTGACCAAAATGTTGCAGCGCACGCAGCCACACACGTTGGCGGCTCAAATATCAGGAAATTGGAATTCATTTGCCGTAGTACCCATGTTGTACCCTGCATTCTGGTGGTTTGTGGGGCCCGAAGTCGTTGATAGGGGCGGCCTACTGGAGATGGACAACACTGGTTACATTCTGTGAAGCAGAGACACAGCTGATGGTCCACCCCAAGGACATTTTGGTTTAAGTAGATGTTATTTCATGCATTCCAGTGGATTTTTGGGTGGCATGCCTGAACTTATTCTGATTCATGTTCATCTGCTCATGACTTGTGGGGCCTTCTAGACTTGAGCTGAACATTCAACCAGAAAACTATTACTGTGCCTCAATGACTGTCTATGTACCACAATATAGCCTAATTAATAGACCTGTGTTTAAGATTTGACCAATTGAGGTTGATTGACATTTTGATTACAATGGTATTCAACTAATTCTTAACTGAAACCTAACCTATATTGTTAATAAGTGTATTCTTAAAAGCACTTAATGATTTATGTTCAGCAAAAAATAACAAGTTTAGTTAGGGAAAAATATTTTTCATTATCAAACAAGAAAGTGCAACAAATAAAGTGCTTAAACAGTAGCCTTTCAAAGCAAAACAATGGATACTGTGGCGGGGTGGAAGGAACAGACTACACCAGCTCAAGTGAAGTTCCCGGAGGGCAAGGTTTATTTACAACCGTTTAATTAGGAGAGGTCCAGCTTGCGAGGTTTTGCGGACCCTGGTGCTCGTGGTGAATCCGCTCGTGGGGGAGTTGGTGCAGTGCTCCAGGGGTTCCGTCGGGTCACTCGCTGCTTTCTAGAGAGACAATGACACACAAGAGGGTTAGCCTTACGTCTTCTCCAGGGGGCCTCCTTGTTCCTTCTGAACCTGCAGCTTAAATGCAGCGGAGCTGACGAGCTGCAGGTGTGGCCACTCAGCTCGTGATGAGTGGTAAGCAGGTGTTCCTTGTGGGTTCCAGGGCAACGCTGATGTGGGCTTGGGACGCTCATCACACTCCCCCCCCCTAAGCGTTGTCCTGGCCTGGTGGAATAATAGGATGTTAGTAGGGGTGACGTACGGGGTTGGTGGGGAGTGACCCCTGACAGACCTACAAAAGCCGACCAGATCCGAGAAAGGCCGTCCGCATTAGAGTTTGCTGCTCCAGAACGGTGCCGGACTTCAAAGTGGAAGTCCTGGAGTGCCAGGAACCACCGTGTCACCCTGGCGTTCGTGTCCTTGGCGCGGGCCATCCACTGGAGGGGCGCATGGTCTGTAAAGAGAGTGAATCGCCTGCCTAGGAGGTAATACCGCAATTCCAGAACTGCCCACTTGATGGCCAGAGCTTCCTTCTCCACCGCGGCGTAGTTTTTTTCGGCCGGGGTCAGCTTCCGGCTGAGGTACAAGACAGGATGCTCCTCATCTTCCTGAATCTGGGACAGGACAGCTCCCAGTCCTGTATCGGAAGCATCTGTTTGCAGCAGGAAAGGACAGCCAAAATCTGGCGCTCTTAGGACCGGCTCTGCCGTCAATGCCATCTTTATTCTTCTCAATGCCTCCTCAGCTTCGGGCGTCCAGTTGATTTTCTCTGGCTGACCCTTCCTGGTTAGGTCTGTCAGGGGGGAGGCTAAAGAGGAGAAGTTAGGTATAAAACATCGATAATAACCCGCCAACCCCAAGAAGGCTCGTACCTGGGACTTTGTACTGGGTCTTGGGGCGGCGCGGACTGCCTCAACCTTCTTTTCCTGGGGTCTGATGACTCCTCTTCCCACCTGGAAACCCAGATAGTTCGCCTCAGACAGGCCCAGATGGCATTTTCGGGGGTTGGCGGTGAGTCCAGCCCTGCGCAGCTCCAGTAGCACCCTCCGCAACCGATTTAGGTGGTCTTCCCAAGTCTCGGAGTGGATAACTACATCATCCAGGTACGCTGCGGCATAGGACTGGTGAGGCCTCAACAAGATGTCCATCATCCGTTGGAAGGTGGCCGGAGCTCCGTGTAGGCCAAAGGGAAGGGTCCGGTATTGCCAGTGTCCACTGGGGGTAGTGAAAGCCGTCTTGGGTTTGGCTGTTTCGGAAAGGGGCACCTGCCAATACCCTTTGGTCAGATCTAGGGTGGAGATATACCGGGCCCTTCCCAGACGTTCAAGGAGCTCATCCACTCGAGGCATGGGGTATCCGTCAAACTCAGACACTTCATTTAGGCGCCGGAAGTCGTTACAGAAGCGGAGGGTGCCATCCGGTTTTGGTACCATGACAACCGGGCTGGACCAAGGGCTTTTGGATGGTTCAATCACCTCCAACTTCAGCATGTGTTGGACTTCCTCCTCAATAGCCTTCCGACGAGCCTCTGGGATTCGGTAGGGCCGTTGCCTGACGACCACTCCGGGTGGTGTGTGGATCTCATGTTGGAGGATCTGGGTCCGCCCGGGGTTGGAGGAGAACACATGCGAGAACTGAGAGACCAGGTGCTGCAGCTCTGACTTCTGGGCTGCCGACAGCTGGGCGTCCATGTCCACTACCGGCGAGTCGATGGTGGCGAGGGCGGCGAGCTGGTCCCTTGTCCCCACCCATTTCTTCAACAAATTAATGTGGTAGAGCTGCTCTGTTCTTCGCCGGCCTGGCTGTCGGACACGATACGTGACCGGCCCAACCTTCTCGATGACGGTGTACGGGCCCTGCCAACTGGCCAGGAACTTACAGGCGGAGTTGGGGACAAGAACCATGATCCGGTCTCCTGGCTGAAACTCTCGTGGCTGGGCGGCTCGATTGTAATACCGTTGCTGCGCCTGTTGGGCCTTGACGAGATGTTCCCGGACTATCGGCATGACCCGGTCGATCTTTTCCCTCATCTCCTTCACATGCTCTACCACCGAGCGATGGGGGGCCAGCTGATGTTCCCACGCCTCTTTGGCCACGTCCAGGAGGCCTCTGGGCTGGCGTCCGAATAAGAGCTCGAACGGGGTGAAGCCTGTCGACGCCTGAGGCACCTCCCGTATTCCGAAGAGCACGTAGGGGAGCATGAGGTCCCAGTCCCGCTTGTCTTCATCTGCAACCCGCCGTAACATCCGCTTCAGGGTCTGGTTGAAGCATTCCACGAGACCGTCTGTCTGGGGGTGGTAGACAGAGGTCCTCAGTTGTTTCACTTTAAGGAGGGCGCACAGGTCAGCCATTAGCCGGGACATGAAAGGGCTTCCCTGGTCTGTCAGGATTTCGGCGGGGATGCCCACCCGGCTATAGAGAAGGAAGAGCTCCTTGGCGATGGCCTTGGCCGTGGCTTTCCTAAGAGGCACTGCTTCAGGATACCGGGTGGCGTAATCCACAATGACGAGGATGTGTTCATGCCCCCGGGCCGATTTAGGCAATGGCCCTACGAGATCCATTCCAATGCGCTCAAAAGGGTACCTCAATGACCGGCCGTTCCCGTTGTTCCCTGGCAAACGACCCGCCTCCTGTCACCTGTTGGAAAAGGTCATGGTAGAGGTTAGAATGAGGGGGTGGGGACTCACCATCTCTCCCGCTGTCGGAGGCCAGCAAGACGGGACGATGACGGGTTCTTTTTCCTGGCCGCATTTGGAGGTGGGCCCGTCGAGGACTGGCAAATGGCACGTTCGCGGCCAGCAGGCGATCCAAGCCCGGCCAGTCTCTACCGATAAGGACGGGTACCGGCAGATCCTTCACTAGGCCCACGTCCATCGGCCATGAGTCAGGGCCAGCGGAGATGGTCACTCTCCTGGTTGGAACATGTCGCGTGTCCCCATGCACGCAGGTGACCGGGATGGTAGCCTTGGTTGGTCTGTGGGGCGAGAGGATATGAGACTGGATCAAGCTGACCGCGCTGCCGGTATCCAGAAGAGCTGCGAACGGGCGGCCATCGACTTCTACGTCCACCCTCGGCGCCCCTTTTGGCAAATCCTGATGTAGGATACAGCCCGCTAGCCAGGTTCTTGGAGCCGGTGTGGGGTCTGCGGTGGGCATTGATTAGTCTCTTTGAGAAGGAGGCCCCGGCCTGCCTTCAGACCGCGGGTTGCCCTCTGGCCTGCGTCGCTCCTGGATCACCCTCCGGGGAAACGGCGGAGCTCGTTCTCCAGCATCCTGGTGTTGGACAGCCTCCGCCAGTTCCACAGCTTCGACAAGCTCAGTAATCGTGCTAGGGTTCCGCATACCGACGGCTTGACGAGGGGATCTCGGGAGGGCACGGAGGAACCGATCGACGACAACACGCTCTGTCACAAGGGCGGCTGTGGGATCTCCTTCCAGCAGCCAATGCTGCGCGAGACGCGATAATTCTGCGGCCTGGGCCCGGGCAGGGAGGCGGGGCTTATACTCCCAGTCATGGAAATACTGTGCAGCGCAGACTGGTGAGAGGCCTAGCCGAGCTAGTATCTCCCTTTTTAGCTCCTTGTAGTCGTCTACCCGTTCAGTTGGCAGCATGAAGTATGCCCGCTGGGCTTCCCCCGTGAGGAGGGGTGCGACCAAGCGTGCCCAGTCACCAGGGTCCCAGCCCTCCTGGGTTGCGGTATTCTCGAACATTTGGAGAAAGGATTCCACATCGTCATCAGCTGTCAACTTCGGCAACAGCTGGGTCACCTTCATTCTGGGATCAGGTAGTGGGACATGTCGTGCAGCAGCCGTGCGCAGTTCATTTAACTGTTGTTCAGTTTGCCCTTGTCGCGTCGCCAGATGTTCAGTCATCTGTTGCTGGTGCATGCTGATCTCCGTTAGGCGTGCAATAACTTCATCCATGTCGCCGGGAAAGGAGTGGCTGCCTAGGGGGCCGAGCGAAAAAACGAAAGATTTAGTTTTATAAAAAAAAAAAAGGTTTTCCTCCGGATGTTCCTCCCACTCAGTACGCCTGCATTCTCCACCAGTGTGGCGGGGTGGAAGGAACAGACTACACCAGCTCAAGTGAAGTTCCCGGAGGGCAAGGTTTATTTACAACCGTTTAATTAGGAGAGGTCCAGCTTGCGAGGTTTTGCGGACCCTGGTGCTCGTGGTGAATCCGCTCGTGGGGGAGTCGGTGCAGTGCTCCAGGGGTTCCGTCGGGTCACTCGCTGCTTTCTAGAGAGACAATGACACACAAGAGGGTTAGCCTTACGTCTTCTCCAGGGGGCCTCCTTGTTCCTTCTGAACCTGCAGCTTAAATGCAGCGGAGCTGACGAGCTGCAGGTGTGGCCACTCAGCTCGTGATGAGTCGTGAGCAGGTGTTCCTTGTGGGTTCCAGGGCAACGCTGATGTGGGCTTGGGACGCTCATCACAATACATATAATATAAATACGCATAAATAAAATAACAAATGAGGTATTAAGAAGGCGATCAGAAGCTGGTTAGTAAAGATTTGTGGGCAAGGTTGTCCTGGCCTGTGGCCTTCTTGGAGGCCTTGAAACACAACTAACAATTTCTTTCAAGATTTAAAGTTTAAGAGCGTGAGTACTTAATTGAACCACGTGTCATTAACATAGCTTAGTCTTTGCTCCTCCTGAGTTTCTCCCGCGGTTGTGTCTGTTTGAAAATCTTCTTCTGTTGCTAACTTCGGGACTCTCTGGGGTAAACAGGATGTCTATGCAGCGAATAGGGTTACAGACGCACTCCTTAGCGCCATCCGCCGTCGGGGAGTTTGAAAAGGAACGAACGCGCTTCGGCCCAAACTCTGAATTTTTGTTTTGCCGTGAGAAATTGGTTGTGTGGCGTGAGTGCGTGTGAAAACATGCAAAAGCGTGTGTCACATGGCGAACACCGTGAGAGTTGGTAGCTCTACTAGGAGTCTATCTGTGCACGTGCCTGAGGATTTCACACTGCATCCTTTCATTTAATGTGAATTATTACAGAAAATGAACAGACGTTTATGCTCCTTACAGGTTCATCAATATGATCTTCACATATTAACAACACTTTTATGATGTTTCCCTTCAGCAGAAGTAAGACGGTAACATTAAAGCAACTTATTGTTTCTGCAGCTCATGCACACTAATGACGTAGAGAGGAAGGAAGCTCTGCTGGGGTTGAACAGCAGCTTGTTACCAACTCCAGAAGAGACGAGCTGACCTCAGAGACATCAGCCTCCTCTTTAATGTAGACGTGTTTCTGGTGACTTACTGAATAAAGAGTTTCTGATCTGCTGATTGAACACAGAGGAGCAGCTATGAGTCCATCAGCCGGTGGATTAGTCGTCTTCCTTCTCTCTGTACAAGGTACTGTACTTCTACATTTATATTGTGAGGCCGTTACACACCTCACACACACACAGGGAGCTGTGTTTTTACTTCACACACAGGTCTGATGTCATCACACACAAATAATGACTAAATGAACATTAACAAAGAAGAAATGCTCTGAATAATTTGTCTCTGTTGAACTTCCTCTAATCGCTCAGCAGCGTTTCTTTGCATTAGACCACATTTAGAGGCTGTTATTCACTCGCCAAATCTAAATGTTAAATCATTTAACATTTACATTTAGATTCAACATTTAGACAATGAAGTAATGTCTCGAGTGTCTCCAGACTACATGTACAGTAGAATGCTTTTTATATCAGTCTTGATAAATGTCTATTTGGCCCCCTGATCTCACCTGTAACGCTGTCGTAGGACATTTGGTTTATAAGCAGAGGAACGGAGCCGAGGGACACCGGCGGTCCACATGGAGGCTCACGTACTTCTTGTGTAGTATGCGACAAGTTGTGTAGTATTCACAGTATGACATGGCGGTTCTTATTTTAAACACAATAAACAGCCTTCCAGAAAACTACACATTCAAAAATGGAACCACACCACTCTGTGTTGTAGGAGTTTGGTTTAATGTTGTATTGAAAAATAAATTAATGAAAATAACTTTTAAAAGCAACAGACAAGAAAAAAAGAAAAGAAAAGAAAGATCCAGATTCTAAACATTCTTTGCCAGCAGGGGGTGAAATCCTAGTGCTCATGTAAGATTAATTTACAAATATATATATATAAAAAAAAGGAAATTTGTTAAGACATATCCACAAATCACGAAAGCATTCCAGTGAGCTGAATCTGGTCTACCGCCCGAACCCTTGTTCTTCCAGCTACAAAAAGGTCTAGAAAATTTATATTTATATATGTATATATTTCGTACACATGCCCTATGTGCGGATGAGGCTGTAAAAAACGGAACTGTACAAAAACAAAAGCACACAGTGGTGATGTTTGTGTGGATGGAATGACATTTAAATTAAGAATATAGGACAATGCGGTAATTGTTAGAATGAACCGATTGATGGATTTTGGCTTTAAAAAGTGTCCATAATAGATGTGAGCGATGAAGTATTTTACCTTCTGGTGCTGTAAAAACAAGATGAGGCGGTTCAGTCCTTAAGGAATAAAGCAAAGAGGAACAACGGAGAGGAAACAACGCTCGCGTTAAATAACAAATATCATCTACAAAAAAAGGTCTCGGCTGAAGTGGAACAGGTTTAAAAGCTTTGCTCCCGCAGTCGGACCGTCGCCATGGACTCAGAATCACGAGCCCCCGAAGCCGGAATCCAGAGGTCATTGAAGACTCGAGGAGAAGTTCGTAGTGTTTACTTTAGTTTTTATGGAGATCAGAGATCAATATAAAGTTGTGAAGGAATGAAAAACTGTCAGTCAAGAAATGGTTCCAGGTGTGACTCCAGAGATCCATCGGAACGTCTCCCTGAAGCGTGTAACCGTTTATGTAACAAAACAAAAAATACTGAATACTGAAAATCATAATCGTGTCATCACTGGAAAAAGGACGATCAATCGAGATTAAATAATCAAGTAGACGTCTAGCTTGCTACGTCGAGGGTCAGCTGGTTTTCGGGGGAAACTTTTACCTTCTCAGAGTCGGACAAACTTCCAGCACGTCTGGTTTTAAAGAGTAAACATCTGCACGAGCATCTGGATCCAGGGAGTTTATCTGAAACGAGTTGGAATGCCGCATTTTTGACAACGTATAAGATGTAGGAAATAAAACGTTACATTGAAGCAAATTCACAGGAGCTCAAACCGTTTTACACTCGGTACTTGCGAAATATTTAAAGGATGAAAACACTTCCTGTTTCGGAGTTTCTACAGCAGAGTCAATTTAAAACCAGACGACAGCCGAGTCATGCTAATGCTAAGCTAACATTCACTCTGCGGATCAAAGTCCTCACATCTGCCACAAATATATTTGGTCAAGATTTAATCTCCACGCGCGACAACTTCCTGACGTGTTGGTCATTTTATTAAAAAACAGCAATAGAAGTTTGCGGCGTTGAAGAAACCCTCACATCTTTAGTCTACTTGTGGAGGGGAGACCACGAGACCACGAGACCAGTCTAACGGTCCTACGCACTCCCAGCCCGCAGATACACACCCATCAGCTTGTGATTCTGTTAAAAAAAAAGAAAAAAAAGACCCCGAAACCGAACCGCTTGTGAAGTCCTAAAAACGTCGCGCCAGCTGCAGTTTCCCGCTTGTCGGTCCGCGAGCCTCCGGCGAGTAAAGCTGTACACTTTGGTTGGGACCGCGAGGAGGCGCTGTGGTCGTGCTCTTCATTCATACATTCACATAAATGGGAATCGTTTGTGTAACAAACACACACACACACACACACACACGACACTGTGACTGAAAAATGGCCCCTCCCACCAATAAATACCGTAAACCCGCCCTGAAGTACATCACACTGCTTCAAGTCCTTAAACCTACAGCCAGCGAGACGAGGAGCCGCCGTCTACGGTCCGACAACAGAAACTCGTTGGCTCAAACTGCTCGAAAAAACAAAAACAAAAACGTCTTTTTGAAAACCGAGCAGAGTGAGAAACAGGAGGACGAGAGGAGACGGCGTGCCGCTAGTTTTTCTTCTTGACGTTGTTGTTGGAGGCGAGCCGGGGCCGCGGCGTCGGGATCAGGCCGCCCAGCGGAACTCGACTCCGAGCCGCGTCGAAGAGTTTGGAGAAAACCTGGGCGGAAGAAGAGGAAGAGGAGGTCAGGCGGAGGAGTGATTTGCTACGACAGACATAAAATAAAAAGCTTAAAATGTTTTCAATGTTGACTCAACAAGCTGCCTGGTTTCCATTAAGCCTTGAATCTTAGAGGTCAAAGAGAAAGCTCGTCACTTTGTTATGCAGATGTCGTGTATAAACTTTACTTCCAGCAGTGCGTCCACAGAGCAATCCACCAGCCGGTCATAGCAGATAAAAGTGTTTGATAAAGTTCTGACAGCGTGATAATAGCACAACTATTGTGTGCAATCAGTGGGCTTTTAATATAAATGCTTGAAGCGGAATGAAAAACGCCTCTGATCACATCAGGAAACTACAGCTGACATAAGCGGCACATTTAGGTCGTTAAGCAGTCGAGTCTCCTACGGGTCGTTAAAACGTACCTTTCGTGGAGTCCTCTGAAAGCATCGAGAGGGAAAAGAAGGAGGAACATGAGAAGGTGAAGGAGAAGGTGAACAGAAATCAAGTAAAAGGTAAATCAAGAATCAGCAAAGTTAAAGTTTTCACTCGCTTGTTTGAAAAGACGAGCAGAGCGGAAACATCCAGAGGAGAAAATACAGAGCGGAGAGTAAAGGAAAAAGGATACAGGCTTATTTTTACTAAACGCAAGTAGTGGATTAGAAACATTATAATGCAGGCGGATCCCGGACGTTTGGTGGCAACTTTCACTACTTTGCTTTCTCTCTCGGCCTCACCTGCTCCCAGAGGGTCTCCGCCACGCGGTCGATGACTCCTCCCACCTCGCGGAACTCCCCGGAGTATTTGACGTAGGCCCAGACGCACAGCGCCGCCAGAGCCACGCCCATCACCAGGTTACACAGCGCCGCCACCGAGCCGATGCCCACGAAGCCCGTGACCATCGACGCCGCGTACATGGCGAACATGACGGCGAACAGCGTGGCGGGCGTCCGCGCGGCGAAGAAGATGTTCTTGCCGTCGTTGTGCTTGCCGAAGTTGGCGAAGGCCACGTCGAGCTCCGCCTCCAGCTGCTCCTGGTAGCGCCGGCAGAAGTCCTCGCCGCCCATCTTCTTGACGGAGCGGAAGTGTCGCACAGACGCCTGCAGCAGCTCCGCGTGGCGGCGCTCCAGCTCCGCCGGGGAGATGTAGGGTTGGTCTCCGCCGCAGACCTCCAGACGGAACAATAACGCACACACAGGTTGTCACACACAGACGTCCGAGAGGAAGTCCTGTCAGCAGCAGAATCGTCCGCGCGTGATGAATTACCTGCTCCATGCTTTTGTTGTACAAGTCTTTGGCTCCTGCTACAGCTGCGAGGTTGTTGGCTTCAGCGGTCGCCTAGGCAACGGGGGACAAAACAAAAAAGGTTGAACATTGAGAAAAGGGTCGACACGCGATTACAGATAAGCAGTTTATGGAGAACAGCTAGTGTGTGTATATTTACTGCAAACAGGATGTGATTTCTGTATTACATAGTGTGACGTAGACTGTCCAGCAGGCGGCGCTGCTGAGCAGCGACGTGGTGTGCGAGCTGACCTGCAGCATGGACTTGGGGTGAGGGAGCTCCTCTCCCTGGTAGATCTTCATGTAAGCCTGAAAGCATGAAAGTCACCTTGCCGTTTGGTAAACGCCATGATGTCACGTGTATTTTTTTATTTTTAAGCCATTTTTTGCCTCGTCTCATCAACAAAGTTTGATTGATTCTCACTTTGAAGTAGTGCAGCAGCTCTCTGCAGGTGATTTTGACTCCTCCGATCTCTTTTTCCACCAGGTTCTCTGGAGAGAGCAGCGTCGGAACGAGGTTTACCAGCTCCTTCTTGAACTCCTCGTCGATATCTGAGACGCACGCGGTGAAACAAAAAAAAACAAACACACTTTACCCGGTCGGACTCGCTAGGACTCGGGCGGACTCGTCGCGTCCGGGTCTCACCTCGGAGCCGCCCGTCGAAGTGAGGGTTGGTGGCCACCCTGAGGCCGGGGTGAGGCAGCAGGAAGCAGCCGATGTTAGAAAAGCACGAGTGGATGTGTTTCCTGACGTTCTGCAGCTCCTCGTGTTGGTTCTGCTTCACCTGATCGCAGACGTCAACACACGGTCACAAGTTCTGCTCCGACTTTGGGCCGCTGGCTCCAAAGCACCGCACACTAACCTGCAGCCGCTTCTCCAGGAAGCTCAGGCCTCCCTTCAGGCCGTACGGGTGCTCGTAGGGGTAACTCCAGTCTCTGATCAGGAACATCAGACTCTGAACAGAGGGACATTCAGCTTATTGAGCCCGAATCCACCAGAACATTGATGATAAAACACAAATAAGAGTCGCACAAACACATGGGATATAACACATTGGCTTATTCAGTTCATGAGGATCTCTGGTGTCAGAGGGTAAAGCATATTTCCTCTCTGGATCTTTAGGACTTTACGCAGGTACCAGATCCCACCTGAAAGGGCTTCTCGTAGACTTCCTCCATGGCCAGTCGTCCGTACTCCGTGAAGAGCTGAGGAGAGAAAAAGAGCAGCCGCCTGAAGTCTGACCCAACATCACAACACGGGCAGCAGAACGATCGCTCGCTTTCTTCTGATTCAGCCGGTCGATTAAAGCTTCCGCGTGTGCTGCTCTAAACGAGAGAAAAGCATTTTTATTATTATAAAAGATAAGTTTAAAGAAAAGCCGGGTTGAAGTTGGCCTGACTGATGTTTGTGTGTTGTTGCAGCTGCTTATTAAAAAAAACAAAAAAACAATCATGATATATATAATTTATATATCACAAAAAATGATCCAACCCGTGCAGAACCACACGAGCCTCAGTCAACTCTGGTGATAAGAAGAAAAACGCACCCTCACTGTTTGATTGACAGGTAATCTCTGGTGTGATGAGGACCAAAGATGGAAAAGAAGTTTCCACTGTGAGACCTTCCACCTCTGCCTCATTTGGCAGCCTGCTGCCGGCTTTAGTTCAGCAGATAATCCGGACCTGAACACAACATCTGACGCCTGATATGGAGCTCTAGACGATGAGTTTTAAAAACAAACGCTTCAGTTAATCTGCTGCACTGGAAATAGACGCACGGCGGCTCTATAAGGCCGGACGGCGGAATCCGTAGACTCGGGACAAACTTTCCAGTTTGGTGAGATCATCCTGTCGAGAGACACGGCTTCAATGCACACGAGTGACAGAGCGAAGGGAACCCAGTGGAGCGTTTTAAAGGATCTGGAGCGCGGACCCGAGGCTCCACAGACAACCTCAGGAAGCCATTGTGTTGGCGGTGAAAGATGCACGATGCCTGATAGTTTGGCCGCGCACACGGCGACGCTTCAGCTGCTCCCATCGTGTCATCAGGAGACACAGAAAGCTCACAATGTGTAACATCAGTACAAAATGAGAAGAAACAACCTTAAAAAACAAGCTTCTGGAAATACGAAAATGCGGTTGCTCTCGTGGCGCCACTGACCTGGAGGTGCTGGAGGTCGTCTTCCTGGACATTCTGGGACAAGTTGTACACCTGAAACACACGAGCCGTCATGGAACCTTTTAAAGCCACAGACACACACACACACGGGACTCGGTGGAACTACGGAGCGCAGCGGACCTGCACAGAGCTGGTCATGGTGCTGAGGGCGAACAGCGTGGCGCAGTCTTTGATGGTCGACTGGCTGTCGAACGCTCCCTGCGTGTCCATCAGTAGAACGGCAACCTGCAACAACCACATGCGAACAAATTCATTGCGGCGTCTCTCGGGCCGTTCGGAAACGGCGCTTGGCGGCGGCGGCGCCGCGGACCGACCTTGCAGCCGTCTGGTTTCTCCACCACGAACACCTCGCTCCAGGCCAGGATGCCCGTGGTCTCCCGCTCGCAGCCGCCTCGCCAGGTGAAGCCGGTCAGCGGCTCCTCCTCGCCGCCGACCCACGAATCCGACTGCACAGAGACGAGATGTCCGGTATCAAATCCAGATCCCTCATGTGGATGCACACGTTAACAGCATGAATGGAATGATACAAACAAATACATGTGAAAGAATCAACATCTGCAGACGCAGCACCGGTTTGAACGCTCTAATCCCCATTCTCGCAAAACATGGCAGCCCTAACATGACCTGACCTGTGTGGGCGGGTCTTATTCTATGCATAAAGATGGCCTTTATGAGTGGAGTAAGCAGCAGTGACCTCTGTGCCCGGTCACACAGCCGCCATTGTGTCGGCACTAAAATCCGCTTTGCAGCCTCATGAAACCCAAAGGAATGTTTCTCGATGCTTACCGTAGATTAACAGGGCGACACACGCGCACCAAAACAAAAAAAGGGGGGATTTCCTGCTGCAGGGTTGCGATGGCGAAAAAGGTCACGGCAAAAACATTTGATTCTTAGCCGAAGGAGTCCGCATGAAAACAAAAGACAAACTACTACTCGGGTTTCTCATGAAATCTAATAAAAACCTCTTAAACCTGAAAACACACAACTATGAAGATCAAACCGGGATAGTTTATTCATAATAACACTAGAGACAAACAACAACAACAACAGTGTGATATCAGCATATCATCCAATTCTCCACTGGGTCTGGCCTGTAATCTTTTAGAAAACAATCCCAACTCGAGGTGCGTGACCACACGCATTATGTTGAAACAAGTCATCGGGGGCTTAGTTTCATCTGAAGGGAAGAATGAGGTCTACAGATTGTGTTCTCACGGCCACAAAACGACTAAAACATTTTAGAATATGTAGGAAATGATTGATGAAGGAGACAGTTGGAGTCCTAAGTGAGTTCTAAAAGTTGCTGAGCTTCTCAACAACTGAGCGGCCGATGCACCGATGGGAAATGAAGATGCAGTTACAAGCCACAGGAAAAGACATGAGAAAAACAACAACTATGAAAGGTCCTCGAAATGGGCATTTTGTGAAGTCACCTTTGTAAAGAATGTGCTTAAAATGCACTCCGGAAATGAACTCGTGGTCCCGGGTCAAGCTCATGACATTTTAGATAAGACAAGTTAAAGTACGCAGACACAAGAAAACGCTGTTCAGCACTTAACCAGGACAGTGAAAAGCAGTGGAATGTGTGTGTGTGTGTACACAAACTAGTGACAATACAGGAACCCAAAAGGAAAAGACTAAAGCCTCCAGTCGCCGCGGTTACCTGCTTGTACATGAAGCGCAGCATGAAGTCCAGCAGGAAGGACTTTCCCTTGCGGAAAGCTCCGGCCACGGAGACGACGACCACCTGGAGGTCCCGCACCTCCTCCTGCAGCAGCAGCCGCTCCAGCGCCTCCTCCTGCAGCGAGAACGAGTGCTCCTCCTCGTCCGCCACCACGATCTGCACCGGCCTGGCCGCGCTGACCTCTTCCAGCAGGTCGCCGTCGTCCTCCTCCTCGCGCCTCATCGGGGATGTGTGGGAGTCACCTGAGGAGGGAAAGCTGTGGTTAAAGTTTGACCGACTCGAAGGACTGAACCGTTTCTAACGGGGGCGTTCCCGCGGCGTCAGGGTTTGACACAACCTGATTTTTGTGATCAGCTCTACTTAAAAAACAAACAAAAAAAAGAGTGGACGAGGACATTGTCTCTGCGGTTTGATTCCATCCAGAAGGCAGAGTTTCCCTTTGGGGATCAATAAACTCTGATGTTCGGAAGTAGCAGCGGTTGGCGGAAGAAAAAAAAAAAAAACAGTTCTGACCTCCTCTAGTTAGTGGAGCTTCACAGGAGCTTCACAGGCGGGAGGTTTCCAGTAAATAGACCGAGCCGTCTCATCGTGTGGAGCAGTCCGGCCTTCAGCGCTCCTTGTATGGCGTCAGTTACACTTCATTGACCTTCAGAAACCGGGTCATTTCAGGGAGATCGTTTGACTCTTTTGCTCCATCTGACACGTCGAAGTGAAATGAAATGTTTCGTCCTTTCTAGCTCGCCGGTGTGAAACGAGCTGCCAAGACTTTTGCGTAAACAGCGCAACGTTTCCGTCGCTGGACAACGACAAAGTCACTGCGTTTCAGTTTCATGGGATTGGGACCCGTGACGCCGTGGTCACGCAGCAGCGTTTACTCAGACGCCGCCATGTGATTGCACCGCCAACCGAGCAGCCTCCAGCCTTCCATCGTGGGAAGAAGGGTCCTCATTCAGGTCAGCGATGAGCTGGTCGGGGCCACATGACAGCTCCGCAGGCGACAACAGCGATCTGCCAACACCGAATCCAGCAAGCACCTCGCCGGTTCAGACAGGAGAGGACGTAAATAATGCACAAGTCCCATTGGAAGCGGTTCCGTATGGATGGGTTGTACTTTAACTGAAGCTTTTAGGGAGACCAGTGATCCGGTAAATCCAATGTCCCAATGTTCTCTCTGGTGAGCACATGAGCTGCCTGAGGATAAACGCTCCCACGGTGTACGGCAGAGATGCAGCGCGAAGCTTAAAGGGGTCCTGAACTGCTCGCGATGTCGGCTACGATGATGTTGAACTCTCAAGTGTCGGACTTCAGGACACACGCACTCCCTTTCGTTGTGTCATAGCTACGGCTGGTTGCTTCAAAAAGTAATGTGGGCAGATATGTAAGACGTGTCAGAAGGGGGGGTTTAAAACCCAGTTTGGTCGAATTCTAGTCATGCAAATTTGAATCCATGGTTATGCCTCAGGTTAGCACATCTGGAACGATAGCTCTACATTCCTCGAACTGGGAAAAGCTGTGCACTTCATTACGTGAACAAAGGATCAGTGGATTCAGACTGGTTACCTTCCTTATGACAGAAATCATCCCCACACACCCGCCAGAGAAGAAACGCGGGTCTGAGTTGTGCTCAAATCACAGTTATTAAAGTGTGCTGGCTGAACACAGTCTGGTCTGACTGCATTCTGACGAGCAAGGCATACTCCAACAGCACTGCTGAAGAGGAAGTAGTGACATGGATCTCTATTTACTTCAATGAGACAAAACTACAGTTAACCCTCAAAGTGCCAATGTGATCTGGAGTCTGAGGAGTTTGTGTCTTTAAACAGGGATGGAAAATAAGAAGGAAAGGAGTTGAAAAAGGTGGATGTGTATCTTTGTGCTTTCAAGCCTCCAAAATATCAGCAACGTGGGCTCAAACTGTGGACCTTAAGAGAATAGTTATAAATCGTACCACATGGCTGGGTTTTGGCCCCACTTTGGTCTTAGCACACTGTGCGCTCAACAGCTGCAACAACACAAACAGCACACGCCTTCACCCTGGTAAACTTCCTGTGATCATCAGCTTTAATGGAGCAAAGGCACCGGCTGAGAACATATTCCCAACACTTTAGGGATTCCAGCTGTAACTGGAGGGCTGATTACTACACTAGCAGTTACTTGTTGACACAAGCACTGATAAGAAAAGCAGCAAGTGGGCCACAGGTCCACTGGTCAGCCAGCTGGTGGGCTGATCCACTGCAAGAGAAACAGAATAAATAAATGAAACAAGAGTCGATCTGTTGCTCACGTGTTATCATCCCATTAAGGACGTTACACCACACGCCCAAGACCATTTAGAAATGACCCACTTATTAATTAAAAATGTGTATACTAATACTCCTGAAATAAATTCGATTAAAAAGGGTACCGATACGAAACATTGAGAGGTGGATGCGCGCTTAACTGGTCAATATTTCCAATGGGGTTCGGTGTTGACGTAACGGTATACTTGCTTATACTTTAACAGATGTGGTACGTGGCTAATTTAAGTTATACGAGCATGTGTGTCAAACAGTTACACCTAGTTAGCCTAAGGCGAGCCTAAATGAGAGCAGCGCCTCAACGGAGCTCGCTCCGCGCCGTTACCTGCTGCTGGTAACGGAAGCTAGCTAGCGTTAGCTTCCCTCACCTGCCGCTGGTACATGTCGCTGCTAACGGAAGCTAATTGGCGCTAGCTACCGTTACATGTCGCTGGTAACGGAAGCTAACGGGAGTTAGCCACGACCTGCCAGCCTTTGATAGAGCCGTCAGAAACGAAGAGGCTAGCAGCTGAGTTAGCTGACATGCTAACAACAAACACGTATCCAGCTGAAGGTGAGGACCAGCGGGCAGCTGGACGGCAAAGCGGAAAACGCTCATCGCCGGCTGGCCAAGCGACCACGCACAGCGGGGGATACATCGATGAGATTAGGTTCGTAAACACCGCCCGCGGCCGCTGTCACCGGGGTGTTTTTTAATGACATCTTTACAGCTCCCAGCGCGGGGAGGATGATTAGCATGGGGATGCGAAAAACGGGAGGAGATGCGATTATTCGACAGCAGTTTCCATCACCGTCAACGGAACAAACCGGCAGGCGGAAAACACGTATTCGTTAAAAAAATCCCTAAAACCGTTTCCCTTCCCTGTGTGTGTTCAAGTACCTTCTCTGAAGATGCTGTTCTTGTGATTCCGTTGCTTCAACCTGCTCTCCTCCGCCGCCATCTTTCGTGACCTGCCGTTCGAAGCGGCACTGCTCTGACGTCACAGCTCTTGAAGCTGCGGGTGTTAAAAGCCAGCGCTGAAGCTCCGCCCCCCCCCCTGGTGACGCTCGCCCCGTGAAGCATGTCAGGACCACCCTTCGAGACCACCCTCCTCCAGATGCGTTGATCCCTAATGTTTGTGTTGAACTAAGGTTGTTCCCATATTTATTTTAGATCAACTTCTAAAATCCAACATCATAGATTAATCTACCCCTTCATATAAAGCAACAATATTTAACACATGCAACAGTAACATTTAATAACATTTAATTGTAAACCACAGGGAACATTTTACTGCACAGTTATTACTTCTCATACTTTGCTGATGACAATTATGTACAATTTTGAATGCCGGGCTTTGACCAGATTTTTATTTTCCAGTATGTGCTCACATTCATTAGTTTGACACCCACCTCTCATCCCATAGTTTTATGGACGAAACATGGAAACTGAACTATAAAATCCAAACCAGACCAAATTTAGCCTGAATGGCAGTCTTGTTTTTATTTAACCTTGTGACTGACGTAGAAATCGGATTTAAGTGTGAACAATCCACATTCCCTCCTGCCACGCTAGATACTGTCTGTCTAGGGAGGATGTGCTGTTTCAGTGACTCTTCCTCACCCTGTGCATGCTGGGATTTCTGTACATTTTTTCACCAGAAGAAAAAAAAATCTGTCACCAACACGGGCTGTACCCTCAAACTTTGCCATCTGTGCTGCGTGTTGATGTGCGCTGCAGCTGGTTTGATCAGATTAAGTCTCCACTTCTTCGTGTCAGTGTGGTCGAGTGTTATCTGACTGCAGATATCAGACATTTGCATCTGGAACACACAGCGAAGCCTTCAACCGTCATTTACCTCCACACCGTTGTTTTTTTAAACCAACATGCCTGTTGTGCTGCAGGCTGCAATCGGTTGATTGCATCAGCACATAATCTGTGTTCTTTCTACCGGCCCCCGAGCAGCAACACATACACGATCCTTCAAGACAACGAAGGAGAGGTCCTCATTTAACCTTGTGATGGGCAGATAAAAATCAGGGGAATACAAATATCTACAGAACTGGTGACATTCCCCTCAGCTGCACATTGTGTTTACTGCATGCAACGTGGAGATCATTACACCTGCTCAACTTCAACAAGTTGACACTTGTGAGCACGTTAACATGCTGACGCTGGCATAGCATTTGGTTAAAAAGCACCATGGAGACAATTAAATGTTTTGTGTGTCTGACATTTAAAGCGCCAGTATAGAGGATTTAAGGGCATTTATTTGTAGAAATGGAAAATAATATTCATAACTGTATTTATTAGTGTGTGATCAGCTGAAACTAAAAATCATTGTGTGTGTGTGATACCATACAATGAGCTATGTATATCTATGTGTGGAACGGGACCCCTAACCCGGAAAAATGAACCAAACACTGGAGAATCCATGTTTAAAAAACTAAATCCTACACGCTGGCCTGGAAGTTGTGATTTTTTTACAATGTTAACAACAGAAACTCAACCATATACTTTGTATAATGTAAATAAAATCCAAACATGACTTGCTGACGTTGTGAAACATGAAGGGGTTTCACTAACCACTATCGATCAAGTTAAAATAGCACTATTAAAACCCTGACACGAGCTGTTCATCATTGTTATTATGATCATGCATCCATCTCGCGGTCTCATGCAACTTATTGTTGTTCTAAATGGCTGCGGTCAGTCTGGTGATTTATTCAGCTGTTTGATCACGTGAGGCGGAAAACCTTCCACGTCATTCGTGACATCCACACTGAATGCAGTCGTGGCAAAGATCTGTTTGAGTTGTTTTCTAGCAGCTGGAAATAACGACCGTATTAACAACTTGTCATCAAACAGCTGAACCATCATTTCTGGGCATAAGAATCAAATTCATTTAATAAGTACACAAAGTATTGCTATTTAAAAGGAAAAAAAACATCTTGAAAATGGAACTACTCTGTAAACCGTCAATTAATAATGATACAGGATATATGAATACATTTATAATAATGTGCTTTTCACGTATATAGAGGAAACTATTAACTGCTTCTCAGTAAAAAAATAACCAACCTCCTCTATTAAAGAAGTAAGACACCTAAAAAGTACAATTAAAACATTTAAATAAACATAAATATCTGTATCTGTAAGTATCTGATTAGTTCACTTTCAAGTGATTCCTCCCTGAGTTCGGCCAGTTACAACAACAACGACATCTAGTTTCATATGCAACTATTTCTGTTAATAGTGACAGCTGATATCTTCATCGCACTTCAGGATATGAAGGCCTTTTAATGAAGGATGAAGCCATTCATCGATTTGATTTGATGGAAGAAAAGTCTGTTCACAATTTCAGCCGGGACCGAAGCTTTTCTCTCAGATCGCTGGCATTCACGTTTCAAAGGAAGCTCAAAAAACCTTCAACTGGTTCAGTTCACCGGCACCGAGGTGCTTTTCCTCACTAAAAAGGCCCCGTCGACGACTTCATCGCGACGCTCGACCAAACCAGAACCTCGGAAAGCAAAACCTCTCAGGAAAAAAACTCTTCTGCGGTGGTTCTGCATCATTTCCTCCTTCTGTAAAGAAGAAAACTTCTGCGTCGTCCCGGAGGAGCCGGCGGGTGCGGCGGCCATCTTGTTTGTGGCTCACAGATGGGAGGAGGTGGAGAAGCAGAGTTTCAGGGTGAAGGGGTTGGAGCAGTCTGCAGGTCGGAGAGGGACATCAGGTATGAAATATATACGTATATATGTATATATATATATATATATATATATAACATATCTATAAATAAACACTGTGAACAGTGGATGTGAAGGTTTCCAGATATAACAACGTCAATGAATCTGTTCAGCGGAGACGTTGTCTCTATTTGTTGTTGTTGTTGTTTTTGAATGAGATCAAGTCTGAAGCCTGACATCTAGTGGCGTCCACCAGCTGATGGTGACAGATGACGTCACCACGTGTCCGGCCAGCAGCAAGAGGAGCAACTGGCTAAAAAAACACTCAGCTGGTATGTGAGCATGCTAGTATGCTAAATTGAGTATAGAATGCTAACAATGGCCAGATAGGAAGATGGTCGTCTGAACTAACATATAAGGGTTTTACAGATTTCTTTGCATAGTTAAAGTCAATCAGGAATCAGGACCGCTGTGTGGTCATAAGAGTACTTACTGGGTATTCTAATCTGGTGGTGGTTGAGGACGGTGAGAGCCTCCACAGCTTCAGTTTTACTGTCGAACTCCAGCAGACCAGACAGGGTCTTAGAGCCGGCTGCTGGGATGAGGAGGAGGAGGAGGAAGAGGAAGAGGAAAGGATTAAAATTGAAAATATGTGTCTGATTTGAAAGATCTCAGCTAAATACCTATTTTCTATTCATAATTCACCCAACAAGAGTTTGTGGTATTTCTTTCTGTAGCTCTTTGTCTGGTGTGACATTGATTAGACTCACATTTGGCGTCAAAGACCTTGAACTTGGTGAAGGCGGGAACGTTGCGTTCGGCACAGAGCTGCAGATGAGGAACAGAGAAGAGAGGTCAGAGAGTTGTTGAAGGCCCGGCGTGTAGGATTTGGTGGCGGAATGCAACCACTGGGAGTCAGTTCTTTCCAAAATGGGTTTCCAGTTCATGACAGGTAATTGTGACGCCTAAAACCTTCCCATTCAGCACTCGGTTTTTCATAGCTCAAACATCTCCTGTCACTTCTGAATGCAAAAACAAGATGCCGATGGCCGGTGACAAAATGCCGAAGTTTAGGTTTCAAAACCGCAGTCCAGCAACCAGCAGCTGACATCACAGTCTACTTGTGGTACACATTTCTGTCACAAACAGGATGACGTGGTTTGTGCCTGCACGTCTCAGAATTGCAGAATCTAAATGATGAGAGTTTGCACGCGTGACAACAAATGCAGGGTGATAAGATCCTTCCTGTGTTAACCTTTGGTCTGACTCAGAGACAAGCGATTAAAATGATCCACGCAAAGAACTCTAAACTACAGACTGAGATCAAGTCAAAGTGAAGTTTAAACAAAACACTGATAAATCTTTGGCAAGGACTTTATTTAAAGCTTCAGTCTAAAAGGTAATGAAATGATTCACTTCACCCAGAGCTACACAACATGCGGACGTTTCTAAAATAGCCCAGAAACATTTTTCACATCGTCCGCATTCAACACGAGAAGATATTTTTAATGTCACGTCTGATAAGCAGAGGTGTACCGCACAGATCCGTACTGGGTCCCTTTCTCTTCTCAGTTCACCTCTCTCGGGAATCCAACATTTCCGACCGCTGTGACCTCGTACGCTCGCTGCAGGTGTGACCTCACCTCGTGCAGCTGGTGCTGGCTGAGGGTGGGCGGGGCGTTGTAGAAGTGCAGGACGGCGGCGGGCGGCTGGATGATGTTCCTGCTGCTCTGTGCGCTGCTGAAGCGGTTGTTTCTGGTCAGACCGAAGTCCTGGTAGCTGCTGCAGCCGTCGGCCAGCTCAAACACCTGACTGGGAATCACCGCCTGCTGCTTGGACACACTGAGAGGAGAAGGGAGGATAGGGGGGGTTAGGTGATGAACAAAACCATGCAAACACAGAAGAACGGGAGGAAGACGGAAGTCCGAGACATGATGTTTGTCCTGCATGGGAAGAAGCTGTGAAATCATCAGCTATGGTATCGATATCCTTTGCATGTTTCAGTGATATTTGGAGCTTGAGTTAAGGAGGTTGTGGTCAGCTGTCACTGAGAGAAGCAGAGACTCACCAGACGTTCAGTTTTTGGCCGAACACCTTGATATTGTTGAGGTGAGTCACGGCCCGGTCCACCGCGTACTCGTCCCCCATCTCCACCAACGCCGTGCCAGGAACGCTCTTCATGAATTTCACCTGCAAGCAAAACCACGTCAGGTATTTTGGGTGGAGCAGAACTGTGACACAACGAGGTCTTCTCGTGTTTAGAGCAACGCGTGACCTCTGAGGGTCACCAGAAGACAGAACACACCTTCTCCACGTTGCCGTAGAGACAGAAGAGGTTGAAGACGCAGCCGCAGTTCATCTTGGCTGGATGGAGGCCGCTCACCATGGCAACTGAGCTGGAGGCCCCTTGTCCCATGAAGTGGGAGGAGGAGGAATAGGAGGTGGAGGTCTTGGGGAGGAGCAGCGGGTAGGCGATCATGTCCTGCATCTCCTCACTGCGCCTCCTGTACCTGCAGTTCGCAGGCAGAGGCAGCAGGGGGCAGTGCGAGCCTGCAGAGACACACAATCCTCTGGATTAGAAACCCCGGAGGACATTCAGGGATTCAGGATGAGCGGGACGGACGGACGGAGAGACAGTACCGTAACTGTTGGATGGATGCTCTCCCAGGATAGCCTGCCGCTGCCTCCCCTTTCCCCCCTCTGCAACACACACAACCAGACATTTAATCCAAATTAGAGTTCACAGGAAGGTTGTTGCTGGAAGCACTGTCTCTGCACACATTGGAGTGTGTCTCGCGGTTAGAAGAGCAGAACCAACATGGGGTCAGAGCAGCAGGAGGTCAAAGTGAGCGCTTTCTCTCTGATCAAAACCTATTTTCGGCCTCCGCAGCAGCATCAGCAGCCTCACAAACCACCTTCAGGCTGCAGTTTAACGTCCGATTGAGTCTCCAGGCAGAGCCCCACGCAACCCCCACTCGCTGCGGCTCAGATCGCTTCACCGCGCAGTTATTTAAAGTCAGTGCTTCCTGAGTGACTGAAAGAAGGTCAATCTCCCCTTGGTGGTAGTTCAATCGGCGGCAACAACACCTGAGTGTGTGTGCGTGTGTGTGTGTGCGTGGTCCTACCTCGCTGCAGGGCGAAGGGTTTGGTGTAATCCCAGCTGCTGTTGTCATTGCGGACCACGTTCAGTCTGTTGGGCTGCAGGGGGGGGCGACAGAGCACAGCACCTCCGGGTGGGTGTGTGTGCGTGGCGGCTTGAGAGTGAGCGTGTGCGTGCGCGTGTGTGTGTTTACCCGAGCGTACTCGATCTTGAGCGTGCAGCAGCCGGCGTAGATGTCGGCTCCGTTCAGAACCAGTTTGGCCCTCTGAGCGTCCTCCACCGACCCGAACGTTGACGGGCTGGTTAAGGAAGACTCACCGGGAGGAGCAGAGGAACAACCTCGCCTCTCACGCCGCGGAGATCTGAGTACAGCCGCCACTGACGTGCGGAGTGCTTCACACATGTTCAAGTACACACAGACAGTTCAGGATATTCCACCATGGCCTGGATGCCGTTGCGCTTGAAGATGACGATGCGCAGGACGTGGACGACGGGGTTACAGACGGTGTAGAGAACGTCCTGAGGGAGAGAACGAGAGGGGGTGACATCACAACTGGAAATGCATGAACGCACACTAATAATAAAATAAGTAGTTAAATATGACAACCGTTTTGTGGTTGGAACTTGGACGCGGAGGTGGCGCTTGTGCAGACTCACGGTGGTGATGGGGTACAGCGGGTTCTGGATGGACAGCAGCAGGACCTTGTTTCCGCTGGCGGGGTCGTCTGCGTTGGTGGGCCTGGTGATCCTCTGGCTGGTGGAGAAGTTGAAGAAGGCCTGCTGCTCGGCCACGCACACGGCCTCGCTGGTCCCGCGCGACACGCAGCGCTCGGCGCTCTCCACGCCGTCGAACTCCACCAGAGCCTGCCGCTTGAACGGCATCATCATCACGTAGCTGCCGACAGAGCAGACGGTGGGGGAGCTTCACTCGGAGGTGTGAGGTTTCACACGCAAGAGCTAACAAGCCCGTCACTCGATCGCTAACCCCGTGGCTCTGAAGCGCATATTAAGGCTTCTCTTTCGGACAGGGGGCGACAGAGCAGAAGCGTCCCCATTGTCGACGTAACTTTTCGTCACGACGCCTCAAAGATCCGTTCTTCAGGTCCAAAACCCCCAGTTTGGTTGCCGTGTTTGAACCTTCGCCCTGGTTTGTCATTGGAGGATCGATTTGATTGCTGTACTCCTGCCAGTTTTTTTAACATTGAACGATAGAAAGCGGATTGATGAACCACATGACCAATTATCACAGACATCAGTTGTATATTTCAGCTGTGAAGCATTTAGCAACACGACTCGCGTTGCTAAATGCTCGTCCTGGCCCCATAATCTGAGAGCTGGCGTGCAGTACTTCTCCTGAATATTGAAATCCTCCCAGGAAACTGCGGCCTTTTCAAAAAATGTGAAGCATATGTGAGCAATTTCTCTTCACTCTTCGTCGACCCCGGGAGTCCTTTCAGCTCTGTTGATGCTACCGCCGAAAGACCTTGTGGCACATCCGCAAATAACATCACTAGTGAGCAAGCCGTATCATTGAGGTTTACGTCGTTATTTTAGGTCCATAAGCCACATGCTCTGCGTGTGAAAAGCTTGATAGAAACCAGGCTGAAACAGGAACTGTGGGCGTTACGCGGCATACATAATGTTAACGCGCTTGTTTCTGAACAGGTTAGAAAACCGTCCCTGTCTGCCTCCCATTTGGCCCGGTAAAGTCTCGCCTGTTGATTACGGTGAGTCATTTTAAGCCCAAACTAGTGTTTTTTTAGCTCTCTTCACTCCGCATGTTTTTGAGTTTTTGGTCTCAATCTAGTTTTAAGTCTTCTTCGATACAGCATGATGTTCATTTAGCAAATCACGGTTCACAATTTAGAGTGAAATACACCATAAAGCAGGGCGTGCTTTAGGGCGGGGCTTCCTGGGATTGACGCTTTGCTGCCGTTGCCCAAACTAGATCGCATGGCGACAGCCATATTCCAAGATGGCGACGGGTAAGCAAGCGTAAGTGGTCAACGTCTGTAAATGCGGAGACGGAACATTTCGTGTACACTGAGTATTTTTTACCAGATGTTGCCGAACTTGTCGAGCGCCTCCACCAGATCGGCCTCCACCACGGCGTCGCAGAGCCCTCGGACGTGGACCACCGGGGACGGGGGGATACGGTGACCGTCCTCCGCAACCTCCTGCAGAGAGAAGAGGACCGAGACGATGAAGACAGGAATACTCCTGAGAATACTTGTGTACTTGTACTGCAGAGCAGGCACGGCCACAGACATTTTGGGGGGCGGGGGGCAGGTGCTCAAACCGAAACGAAAGGGCACCAAAATGATTCATGAAATTAGAAAAATAATAATAATTAATAAAAAACATAGTAGGATATTTTGAACAAATATATTTATGTTCGCTAACAAATTAACTCAAATCATCAAATTGAATGAATAAATGATTAACAGGCAAACACAGACAAAACAAGGCCATGTTGTACTTAAAGTACGAGAGGTTGTACTTTATCGTCAATAATGTTACAGTTGGAGGGTGTTGTTAGGCTGACAACACAGCTGGGAAGTATAAAGAGGAAGTAAATACCTGGGAATTATAAAGAGGGAAGTAAATAGCTGGGAAGTATAAAGAGGAAGTAAATAGCTGGGAAGTATAAAGAGGGAAGTAAATAGCTGGGAAGTATAAAGAGGGAAGTAAATAGCTGCCTTCCAGCAGTCTTTTTTCGCCGATCGCCACCGGGCTAAAAACTGAAAAGACAACCAACGCTCGCGCTGCTGCAGTTCCCCGTCCTCTGGCTTTTGGAGTCTCTCTTTTCTTGGCATTATGCTGCAAATTTTGTAAATGAGCTAAATCAATGTTGCTTCATAAATCACAGATTTCGTGAGTTTTTTGTCTGTTTACTTTTTAGGAAACGTCGGTTAATTTATCACCGAACAGCGTCGGGGGATTTCACAACCATCGTCTTTAGCTGTCTTTTTTCTCCCCGGGCAAAAGGTGCTACAGAATGCAGGACAAGCATTTCTCATCTCCTTGTTACCTGAGTCACTTCTATCTCAAAGTCTTGATTTGCAGCAGGAGGCCTTAAAGGTTGCTGCCTGTTCTCCTTTAGAAGACACCAGCTATGGGAAAACGCTCTGGTTACCTTCAGAGCGCCGATGACACTGTGTTTACCGTCTCTCTCCAGGAAGCGCTGCAGGTTTTGCAGTCCGCCTGGTTTTCCGCTGCAGGTTGAGACGCTTCACACCTACGCCTGCAGGAAGCGCGCTCTGAATGGGGCCTTTTGTGTGGATGACCTCTATAGGCACCAAAGCCTCGTCTCAGCTACTGAACGACGCGGGGACGCACGGCTTCCTGCCGTGTTTACACTTCTTGTCAAGAACCGTTTTCATTTATCGGTGTATTCTTTTCTTTCGCTGTGCTCACAGATTTGTTTTTGAACGCACAGATGCGAGTGTTGACCTTTCTTACATATTATTATCCGTCGGTGAGCAGGAGCATCTTTCGAAGCGACCTTCAGACGGTACACAGTACGGCAGAATAGCTGCTCCTCTCCCGACCAGCTGACTGTAGAAGTGTGACGCCGGTTCGCTCGGACCCACAGAAGCAAACCGTCGAACTGCCGCTCTCAGCTCGCGCGGCCGATGCTTCTCCTGGGCCGAGGGGGGAAGCGGGAGCGTCCGCCTCAAACGCGTGGCTTCTGAGAGACGTTTCTTAGTGTGGTCTGTTCGGGACGAGCGCACACTCGACTGCGCCTATGCCGGCCTCGGTAACCAACGGCAACGGCAAGCAGGAGGCAGGCGGACAAAGCCCTTCGCGGGAGGGGGAGAAGGTGACTCAAGGGTACCAGAGAGACCGGATGTTTCTCCTTGTTGGTTCTTGTAGGTGAGAGCGACGCATCTCGGTTAACTTCATGGTTGCCTTTGTGACAACAATGAGGGGAGAACCTCTTCCTCCTCTTCCTCCCCTGCAGGAGGACCGAGCAGGTGCAGCTCGGTCTGGCCTGGTCACCATAGCGACAAGCGTTACGAATGTGCATCCTTATATTATGTGTGTGTGTGTGTGTCCACTGACATGTTGTTTCTCTCCAGTAAGGCTGCTGTGTCAGTATATCTCCGCCTACACACTCCCCCCCCCCTCCCATCTCCTCCCCTCCTGCTGCCTTCATCTACATCACCTCCTCCTCTCCGCTAACAAGCCTTTAACGAGGCCGGATGATACATCATTCATGAAGCCCTGGAGAGTGTGTGTGGACGGAGAGGAGATGTGACAGTTTGACGGGTTGAGACGGTGCAGCCCTGTGATGTGAGGCTGTGGTTCTTACCGACGACGTCTGGCCAAAGCGCGAGAAGTTCAAAGACGCCGTTAGCGCAGCTTATCGTTTAGGGGCTAAAAATCTCACATTTTGTTGTGACGGTGGCGCTCGAGGAGGAGAAAAACAAACATCTCATTCTGACATTAACTCACTAACGTTGGATCTTCTGCGCTGCAGGAAGGTCCCCAGGTCACCGAAAGCAATCACCCGACCCAGACGGTTTCTCACGCAAAACCAAGCCGCCAATGGCTCCATGCACGGGACCTTTGACATTACACTGTTATTCCAAATACGACAGTGTTACGAAGTTGGATATGCAAACATCATGTTTTGCATATTTTAAACAAGGCCTTACTCTACATGCGGGATTTCAGACGTTATTCAGGTCTTTAGGAGGAGTCTTTGCATCCCGTCTGCGATGTGCGTTGCACGCAAACCAGCCAATGGTTTGCAAAGCAAAAACCTGTTACCCGAAGCCGGCAGAGATCCACGTCTCAGCACTTCTTACAGACTTTATGCCAGAAACTCATTCACGATTTCATGAATCCTTTTCCTGTGCAGCAGGTCGTCGGCTCAACGGAGGGACTCGGTCCTCGGGTCAGTTTTGCACCTCGGGCGGTGACTTCCGTTTGATCTTCACTCTCTGTTCTATCGAAACCGTAAAGAACATGAGATCAAAGGTGCTTTGATGTCGGCTGAAGTCTGCAGACGGGTGATTATAATCTACCTCAGCGCAGCTCACAGGAGGTAAAATAAACCTGACCAGTCTGAACACGAACTGGTGGTTTGATTAAGTCTATATTTTTTCATCTTGTTCGGCCCCGTTTGAGAGCACTTAGCTCCATCAGAGACGAATGCTAATTAAAAAAACAGGAGCTGGCAGATTTGAATAATTAAAATGTAAGCGCTGGAATCTGCGTCTCTTCAAACTGAGTCTCCTGAAGTACCTCGAGAGACTCGTGTGGCCTTCTAGAAACCTCCTGCAGGAGATCACCGAACGTACACAGGGACGCAGGAGATATGAAACCTTTGACGGACACCCTGAATTTAAACCAGACCTACAGAACCACAGAAACATTTGAAACTCCGTTTAAGTTCCTTGGGACTCCAAGGGGCTCCAACAAGACCTTAGGACTTTTTGAAAGTGGATCACCAGAGTTATGACTACAGAATGCCTGAGCTCATGACAAACCATCCAATAGTTGGTGAGATATTTCCCTCCAAAGACTTTTGTGACATTTGTGAACCCCGTACAGGAAAACAGTTTATTACGAGCTGTTTTTCACATCATAGCTACTGTCTGTGTGACAAACCAACCACGGTTACAGGCTCACTCAGAATACCAGGTTTACATTTAGCAAGGTGAGCACATGTCCTCATTTCCTGCTCCGTGCCCCCACTTCCTGTTACTGCCAGAACCTCCGAGAGAGGCCGAAATGTCCCGCGGAAACATTGTAAATACCAGTTTCAAGCCTTCTCTGATACAGCATGATGAGGATAATTTAGGAAATTATAGTCCGTCTGGAGTTAAATAGACAGATTGAGCTTTTGGGCGGAGGATTCTTTTCTGATTGACAGGTCACCACCACCTTCACTCGTCAATCGGGTGTGAGGCGCCAAGCTGCCAAGACAAACATGCAGAACCCAAAGCTTCAAAACAACTGTCCGCGTCACGATACGACGGGCGATCGTCTTCATTCACGATTGATCTGCTGACTCGATTCATGAGTGAATCTCTTGATCTACACAAAGCGATAAATGTCGTTTAATGAGTTGAAGGAGAAGATCCGTGTTTGGTTTAAATTAACAACAGTCGTTGCTGCGACGGGACAAAGGGACCGATATAGATCCAGCTATGTGAGTATGCAATCAATATTCTACGTCAGTGGTGGTAAAGCTTTCACCTACACACACACAAATATATATAAATGCTCATTAAAACAGGACGTTCCTCAAGCCTTCCAGAACCATCTCTCTGTAAAGCTTATAATCATCTCTATAACTCTCCTCTCTGGAGGAACAGTCTACCTGATCACCTCCTGGGGGAGAGCAAGGTGGAAGGTGTATCTCTGTCATATCATTGCATGAACTTCAACCAATAACTCTTTTCTGTCCGGGTTTCATTCTACAAACCTCTGTCATAAATTCATTACATTGCAAAAAAAAATTAAACTACGGACAAGAACAGAGGAAAATATTTATATGTGTGTTTTCTTTTCGGTTTTAACCCACATTTATTTAAATATAAATGAGCGGAAACTTCTAAAAGCACGTTTCTCATCTTCACCTTGGCTCCTCGGCTCCGGCGGCTCCCCCCCGCGGCGTCCTCCTGCCCGTCCTCCGGCTCCTCGCCGCCGGCCTCGTCTTCCGTCCGGAGCCGCTTGGCAGCCCGGTGGTACCCTCCTCTTCCTCCACCTCCACCTCCTCCTCCTCCTCCTCCTCCACCTCCTCCTCTTCTTCCTCCTCCCCGGGATTCTCTCTCCTCCATCACGGACGAGGCGGTGAATTCACGGAGGATTGTCGGTGTAAGGGAGTAAGAAATGCTGCTGACACCTGCCAGGTCCGAACCTCTCTCTCTCCCCCTCTCTCTGTCTCTCTCTCTCTCTCTCTCTCCCCCCCCCCTCTCTCTGTCTCTCTCTCCCCCTCTCTCTCTCTCTCTCTCTCTCTCTCTCTCTCTCTCTCTCTCTCTCTCTCTCTCTCTCTCTCTCTCTCTCTCTCTCTCTCTCTCTCTCTCTCTCTCTCTCTCTCTCTCTCTCAGATATAGGAAATGAATACAGACGTCTCACTCCGCCCCAACGTCGGGAGCCGAAACCCGGACGCTCACATTCTGCGTCATAATTACCACATGACGATTAGTTTGGACCACGTGCATGAAAGACAGATGATTTGATTTTACTTTGATTATACAAACACACCCAAGCGGTTTCTGTCTGTACTGGAGAGGGGATTTTAATACGTTTGGTTCTGGTTAATGATTTTAAACTGGACCGCTGCAGTAGCCTGATTGAATTATGACAGCTGCCTGTGATCAATACATAAATATGTTGTAATTTAATTCTTATTATTGTTCTCAATGAACTTAAATACTTGAGTAAATTGGCTGTAAGTTACACAAAGACCCGAAATCCCCATCAGTCAGACTGAAGTCTAAACTGGAGGAGAAGAGAAGAGGAGATGCGTTACCTTCCGCTCGACAAGAGGCCCAAAAGAGGAGCAGCCTCTCTGCAGCTGCTTCCTCCAGGTGGAGGTCACGTTGCCACAGCAACAGCCTGTTAAACTGCTGCACCCCAGAGAGAGAGAGAGAGAGATGTTCATCCACATCCCACTGTGATGCAGTTGTGTCTTTCGTGTCTATTTTCTTCAGCTCAGTCAACAAAAATTTGAAAAAAATGTACTATTCCTTCATAGAAAGGAAAGGGGAGGACTGAGTCACCAAACTTAATAATTACTATACAACATTTGAAATGAGCTAATTAATGAGGTCTTTACTAGTTTACTCAAACGTGACCCCGCCTCCATGTACTACAGGTAAACGTGTGTAACAATAAATCCAAATAGACAAACGGACTCATTAGTCCGCCTCCCTTTCTGTATTTCACACGCTATCAATAAGTGCTTTTTAGAGACCTCATCAAACTGCTTTCTGTGCATACTGAGGTTTTAAACTGTCCATTTGCACAATTTCAGCCATTTCCAGCTGCACTGGTCCCGTCCAGCAGGGGGCGACAAAGTGTAAAAGAGACCTGGAGCGTCTTCAGATGCTGAGGTGGAGGTGGAGAAGGTGTTAATGAAATCTAACACCCAACGGTTGTCTATTGATTCAATGAACCACTCCGTTAAAAAAAAGCCCTGAATGAACTTTAAAAACAGAACGTTTTTTTGGATAAAGGAACATTGTTCGCACATGACTCCTCCTGGGTTGGATGGATTCAAATTACGGGGAAGTTGGTGCATGCGGCAGAACTTCCAAAATCCCTCTAAGGAGACACCGAAGTGTCTTTACGCTGGTTCTTGCATGAGGCCCTTAGTCAAAGAAGTTCGGTTTGGGTTTTAAAAACTCGACAAATGTCATCCTACGTCAGACTTGAACTCTTTGGTTTTCATTTGATTGAATGTTGTATATCGAATCTCAATGAGTCACAGAGCTGCTGATGATGCTCAGCTCCACTGACTCGATTCTCACCGTCATCTCTCGTCTACGGCAAATTAAGAAAAATAAAATGTCGACACAACCAGCCAAAGTAGAGCGCGGTTTGCGGTGTTTCAGCGTAACACGAAGAGATCCACCCAGGTGTGTGATGCCAGGATACTATTTTCAACCAAGGTGGTTACACGTTAGTCTGTGTGTGTGTGTGTGTGTGTGTGTGTGTGTGTGTGTTTTGTGACAGATCACAGTCCCAGTTTGAAACAGTAACTAATGATTAATGTTTCAAAATGGTTAGGTTTAGTATAAAACATCTTGAGATGAGTCACTGTAGTTGGACATTGAAACCGAAACAAAACAGCCTTGGAGAGCTCTCAATGGAGAGCATTTATTCTTCTCAGGATCAGCAAAGTTATTGTTATTCATCCTTTCAGGGGGTGGATGAATGTCTGAACCACATTACCACCCATAGAGCAACACGGCAGACATATGAAGTACAAATCAGCACAAAAGTAAAATATTATGAATTCAAAGCTCAGTCCAGGGTCGATGAAGCCTCGACGTCTCTGGGCGGCGTGGAGCGTCTTCAGATGCTGAGGACCGTGCATCAGGAACCGATGGCCTCTCATGGGTCTCCATTCAGTTCCTGATGCAGTATCACCAACATCAGGGAACCTGCCGAGAGGTTGATCATGCTCACCTGTACATGAACACCGATAATAACTCACAGAGCAAGTGAAACACGCCACGTTTACATAAAAGTGTTTCTGCCGCTTAGCAAGGTAAATAACAGGGACATTTCCATTACTAACAATTTCCCCTCCTTCTGATATACTTACTGTATCTGATATACCCTTTACTGTATCTGATAGACTCTTTACTGTATCTGATATACCCTTTACTGTATCTGATAGACTCCTTACTGTATCTGATATACTCCTTACTGTATCTGATATACCCTTTACTGTATCTGATATACCCATTACTGTATCTGATATACTCCATACTGTATCTGATATACCCTTTACTGTATCTGATATACTCCTTACTGTATCTGATATACTCCATACTGTATCTGATATACCCTTTACTGTATCTGATATACTCCATACTGTATCTGATATACCCTTTACTGTATCTGATATACTCCTTACTGTATCTGATATACTCCATACTGTATCTGATATACCCTTTACTGTATCTGATATACTCCTTACTGTATCTGATATACTCCTTACTGTATCTGATATACCCTTTACTGTATCTGATAGACTCCTTACTGTATCTGATATACTCCTTACTGTATCTGATATACCCTTTACTGTATCTGATATACCCTTTACTGTATCTGATAGACTCCTTACTGTATCTGATATACTCCTTACTGTATCTGATATACCCTTTACTGTATCTGATATACTCCATACTGTATCTGATATACTCCTTACTGTCTCTGATATACCCTTTACTGTATCTGATATACTCCTTACTGTATCTGATATACTCCTTACTGTATATGAGGCACTTAAATAAATACTGTAAAATATCCAGCAACGTTAAATCAAAAGGGAAATCTTTTACTGACATTTTACTTATAACTCAGGATTCCTATTACTTTGAAATAGCGAAACGGAGACTGAAATAACAACATAAATATCTCATATGTTTTCATATGTGGTAGGAGGAGGTGGGGTTGCCTGCAGGTGGTGTTGCCTTCAGGTGGTGCTGCGTTCAGGTGGTGTTGCCTTCAGGTGGTGCTGCATTCAGGTGGTGTTGCCTGCAGGTGGTGTTGCCTTCAGGTGGTGCTGCGTTCAGGTGGTGTTGCCTTCAGGTGGTGCTGCGTTCAGGTGGTGTTGCCTTCAGGTGGTGTTGCGTTCAGGTGCTGCTGTGTTTAGATGGTGTTGCGTTCAGGTGAATCTTAGTTGGCTCTGTGAGGCGATCAAAGCTCACAGTTGCCAGCTGAGATTAAACTGGATCACAGCTGGTTCTCGGTTTTAAACTTTTACTGTTGATTTGATCTTTAAAGGGACAAATTTGTAGTTTGTGAATTTACCCGCAATCATCAGAGTCTCTGCTTGCTGGTATTTGTTTTATTAATCAGACTCAGCAAATCATTGTTGAGTAAATGTATAAATATGCAATACGTCCCTGAAAGAGACACAAAATGACCTCAAAGAGACATGAAACTACTACAGAAACACACCATGACTATGACATGGGTAGCAACACTTACAAAGATACACAAACACGGACAAACCGAATACTAGCTCCACGAAGGGGGGGGGCGTTACCTGAAGTCCACCTTAAGTGCACCGTAATTCCACCTTAATTAACTGAGGTCACGTGAGAATCCAAGTGGGAATCTGTGGTCCAGCCGACCGCCATCTGCTGCTCATCGACGACTGTGGCTGTGGACGTTAGTCTGGAAGGAGAATAACGAGGAGAATAAAGGATTTAGAGTATTTTCATCTGCACAGAAGCGCACGAGACCAGGCCCAGATGACATGTTGGATTTGTTCCCGCCTGCGGCCTCCGGGCTCTAACGAGGCGAGACGTGGACGGACAAAGGATCAATTAGAGCTGCGGGGTGTCCGAGCAGCGGACGGTGGACCCTGAACGCCCCCCTATTGTCCCGTCCACAGGAAACAGAGAAATAAAGACAATGTGATTTGTTTCTGCTGAGCTGCACTCCAAAAGGCCTCGCAGTGACAGGGAGGTTCCTCTTTTCCTCTTTTCTTTAAAAGCGCTCGATGACGTCTTCAAAGCGTCGGCAGATGTGTCTCTACATGTCCCCCCCACACACACACACACTCCCCCCTTTCATCGGGCTGTTTCTGGTCAAACTTCATAAACATCATGTAGCATGATTAACGTTTGATGTGCAGACGACATGCTAACAGAGGAAGAAGTAAATAATCCATACTATATACCATAAACCAGCTTCGTATAACAGCTCTGACACGTAATATATATATAAAATAAAATATATTGTGGTGTGAAAAGAGGAGAGAAAATAGATTCTTCCTGACTGTTTTCTCCATCCAACCAGAAATATTCAATTGTGCTTCTTTAAATTGCACGGTAATGTGAAACATGCTAATCTGCGTGACGTGAGAATGAAGAGACTGAAGTAGTTATGAACCTCCAGTTCAGAGACACGTAGTTCACGTCTTCCTAAAAACGTCTTTTTAACAGCTGAGAACGTTTTAAAGCAGAATCAGAAGCCGCCGCTGTGAACATGTGGCGCCGCATTAGAACACAAACACATCAAACTGAACCTCTCAGCTCAGAAAAACACGCAAAAAACCAAGCGGCTTCCTCACATTCAGAGTCTGATGCCGTTGTGATGTTAGCGTGACGTTTCAAAATCAAAGTTTGTCTTACCTCCGTGATGAACACTCGCCAGCTGCCAGACTGAGGCGAGCAGGGAGAGTCCGTACTGACCCCAACACCCAACACACACACACACACACACACACACACACGCACACACACACACACACACACACAAACACTCCTCCCTGCCCCCCCCGCCCAAACACCCCACCCTGGTCAGTCTGCTCTCACTGGGATCTGGGTTTGAAGATGTCTACCTCTCTTTTATCAGGATTTATCTTCATAAAATACGTTGGATTTTAATGCAGAACTCTTTAGTTTGTCTCATTATCTAACTATTTTATCTTTAGCAATATATAACAATTGTTAATTCAACCAGACTTTTAAAAAACTGAAGTCATGAATACCTTCACAGCACAAATATATTTATTGACCATATCATTTTCTGCATATTTAAAATAACATTATCCTAAACTTTAATAATTCCATGCATTAGGGTGTAAACATGTTATTCAAGATTTTGGTTGTAGATTCTAAATCCCTTTTTTTGGTATACAAATTGTATTCCCTGACACCAGGTAGCAAAAGCACCCTTTATCCCTCCTAAGATGTGTGAAACAAATGCAAATATGTAGAAATTAGCTCACTTTCAGTTCCTCTAAATGTTCTTTTATCTCTGTAATTCAGTTTCCTTGTTTTAATACTACGAATGATCTTCAGCTCAAACACACGTTCCTTCTCAGCTGCGGGTGAATGAAGAAACATTTTGCACTTGTTAGTAGCTGGTGGGTTGTTAACCGATCCAGTCAGCCATTAACCGCTCTCTCTCTTCTGGGAGCCTTGATGTCGTGCGCTTGTCTTATCGGACAGCCGTCGGCCTTCCCACCTTCGAATGCCTGACGTGTAACAGCTGACGTCTTCCCAGCGTGGAAAACGCACGGCGGGTCACTACAACGATTCACAGCATATCATAGTGGATTGAGATGTATAGAAATAGAATGTGTTTATTAAGTACATTGTTTAAACTAGTTCATGATGATTAGTCCCTCGGGTTTTTATTACTTCTGCTTCTGTTTCTGGTCTGAAATGTGAAGCCAACGAGGAAGTGAATTAAATTCTTTCTAATAAACACCAAGGGGCGACTCTTGCTATGAAGAAGTTTGAGTGTGTAAAATGGTAAAATGCCTTTTGATACATTCCGTCAGTTAAACATGAGTTTATAGTCCCGATCTCTAGTTTTGAGACAATACAGCATGAGTTCCATTTGATAAATGATGGCCGATTTAGCGTGAAATAGACTATAAAGCAGGATTGGCCGCTGCTTGGCTTTGCACAGGAACCCATCGACCATATTCTCATTGAATTGGGGCTTGATTGGTCACGTATCATGTCAATATTCACCAAATATCTTAGATTGATAGATCCAGAACTGAGTTCTCTAGTTTGAAGCGAACATGACGGGCGTTCGGTTACATAAAGCAGACCCTCAGAAGTGGAACAACAGCCAGCTGAGATGATTCCTGCGAATTACTGTGACCACCAGCCTGACCTGATTGGTCGAGGCTGGTAACAGACAAACAAACATTTAGGGTCATGACCCAAAAACACAGAAGTCACAGTGATCATACTTAATGAGAAAATATCCATATTTTAGTCGAGAAATGTCGTGACCAAATGAATCTTCCCGCTTTCAGCACCTTGGGACCTTTGTCGGGGCGTTGAGCCCAGATGATCTCCTGGAGTGAGGCGCTCACAGATGTAGTTTTAAACCTCCTGAAGCCTTCGCAGCCCCACCGGGGCCGTTCCACACTTCCTGTTAGGGGAAACCTTCTCTGCGCAGTGAAAGTGTGCCGATCAGCCGCGGGTGTGACCGCACGTGGTCGGTGACGTCCAACCATAAAACCGTTGTGTGCATACGCTGCTTTCCATAACTCGTGTGCGTCCAGAAGGGAACCAGCACACCAACAGTCAGGTAGAGACACAACGGCTGCATGGCTGACTTCTAAGTTACCAACTGGATCGAGTCTGGACAGGGAGCCACGATGCTAAAAGTGGCCCTCTTGAACACCCTGGATGAACTTGGAAAAAAAGACTTGGAGCGCTTCAAGTGGTTCCTGAAGGACGAACGCCTTCAAGACTCCTCGCGCATCCCGGTGAACAAGCTGGAGAATGCGGAGACGTGGTACGTCGTTGATCTGATGATCCAGACCTTCACAGTTCCCGGAGCTGTGACGGTGACCAATCAGGTTTTGAAAAAGATCAACAGGAATGATCTGCTGCTGAGAAAAGGTCAGTCCCTGGAACCACGAGAAAGAAAGATTTGTGTAATGAGCAGCAGAGGTCTGTCCCGGATAGACATAGGATGCTAAAATAATTATTTGACATGCAATAATCGACCGTGTTTTTAACCAGCAGCAGGTGTTTTGTTAGCGTTTCAGGCCCTGGTTGCATGTTGTGTTGTAGATTGTTTTCTCCTCCGGTGGGCGAGTTTTCTTTTCAGATTACTATAAGAAAACATCCTGCTAAAAGAGTAATGGGATTGAATTTGATTTGAATAAAATCCAGATTATGAGTACCAGCCTGTATTTTGTGTGCAACATGGTTTAGAAATGATGCTGTACTCCAGTATGAATATCATTGGAGATCTGATATTAAGTTGCCAGTCATGTGGTAGCCAAGGAGCTGATGAATGCAATTTCTCTGCCCAAGATAACAGGGATATTACTGACTTGTTTGACTATAAAGACAGCAACGCTGGTTTCATATTTTGTTGATGGGAAGTCTTTGTTACTTTTAGATGGACAATCTCAGGCCAGAGGACAATTTGGTACCGTTTCTGCAACCACAAGCAAACTAATACTTTTCAATATTTGTGTTTGACACAGATGAAATCACTTTGCAACCAAAGTCAGCATCCATTTTAAATTACCAACAAAAGCTTCAATCAAACCTTCAGAACAAGTTTTTTCTTGCCTCAGAATGGTTCAAGAACGATCAGCCCCGTCTAGATGATATCTACACAAATCTGTACATCACATCAGGGTGCGACGGACACATCAACCTGGAGCATGAAGTCATCGAGCTTGAGATGAAACCAGCAGGAAGAGAGAACCCCATTAAACGTTGTGACATGTTCAAACACCCCTCTGGAAGATACAAACCCATAAGAACAGTTATGACAATTGGAATTGCGGGAATTGGAAAAACCTTTCTAGTGAGAAAGTTTGTGTTGGACTGGGCTGAAGGAAGAGCCAATCAAGATGTGCATCTCATTTTCCCTCTCAACTTCCACCAGCTGAATTCATCAAAGGGCCGAAGTTTCTGTTTGGCAGAGCTCATTAATGAATTCGTCTCAGAGTCCAGAGACATCCGGAAAGAGGTTCTCAACAACATCTTCACAAGTCTGCAGTCATCAGGAAACGACAACTATGACAAGAGTGAATTCAAACTTCTGTTTGTCTTGGATGGACTGGACGAGAGCCGTCTTTGTCTGGACTTCTCTACCAGTGGAGATCAGGCATTTAACTTTGATGTGACAGCGTCAGCCTCAGTGGACGTGCTGCTGACGAACCTCATCAACAAGAAACTGCTTCCCTCTGCTCGCCTCTGGATAACCACGCGACCTGCCACGGCCAGTAAAATCCCTCGAGAGTTCATCACCATCATGACAGAGGTCAGAGGGTTCACCGACCCACAGAAGGAGGAGTTCTTCAGGAAGAGGTTCAGAGACGATGACCAGTCCAGCAGAATCATTTCCCACATCAAGACATCGCGAAGCCTCCACATCATGTGTCACATCCCAGTCTTCTGCTGGATCACTTCTGCAGTTCTGGGGGAGGTGATGGACACCAAAGAGGGAGGAGAGCTGCCCAAGACACTGACTGAGATGTACACAGAATTCCTGGTGTTTCAGATTCGTCATACAAACAAGAAGTACAACCAAAAACAATGCATTAAGTGTATTAAGTCATTAGCAAAACTGGCTTTCCACCAACTGAAAATTGGCAACCTGGTCTTTACCCAGGAAGATCTCAAAGAGAGTGGCATCGATGTGAGTGCAGCCTCCGTGTGGTCTGGAGTGTTCACAAAGATTTTCAAAGAGGAACGTGGGAGACGGAATAATGAAGTCAAGTCGTTCAGCTTTGTCCATCTGACTGTTCAGGAGTTTCTTGCAGCTTTTTACGTAGAGATGGCAGCCACTTCCAAACACAAGAATGTAATGTGTGAGCCAGATCAAACTTGTGGGGAACAAGTGAAAATGTTTTTCAGTAAAACATCAATGTCTGAGGTCTACAAGTTTGCTATTGACAAGGCCTTGACGAGTCTAAATGGACACCTCGACCTGTTCCTTCGATTCCTCCTGGGTCTTTCTCTGCAGACCAATCAGAATCTCCTACGAGGTCTGATGACACATACAGGAAGAAGCTCAAAGTGCAATCAGGAAACGGTCGAGTACATCAAGAAGAAGATCAGCGAGAATCCATCTCCAGAGAGAAGCATTAATCTGTTCCACTGCCTGAATGAACTGAACGATCGTTCTCTAGTGGAGGACATCCAACAGTACCTGAGCTCAGAAGGTCTCTCCACGGATAAACTGTCTCCTGCTCAGTGGTCAGCTCTGGTCTTCATCTTGCTGTCATCACAGGATGATCTGGCTGTGTTTGACCTGAAGAAATATTCTGCTTCAGAGGAGGCTCTCCTGAGGCTGCTGCCAGTGGTCAAAGCCTCCAACAAAGCTCTGTAAATATAAACTGTGTCACATGTTTAGGGTCATGTAAGTTTTTAACAAACTGGTAGTTGTAAGCTTTAGTCAACAAATTAGTTAGCTGATTAATTGAAAAGTCTGTCATATTGTCACCTCGGTATGATTCCACCTCCACAACTGAATGAATGAAAAACAGGATTGGATTTTTTTCTGTGACTGAGGTTTACGGTGATACGTATGAATGGAAAACATTAAAAATGTCTTCATCACATTGTAGACAAACACAAATGGTGGCACTGCCAGTGTTTATCTTTATCATCAATTCTCTTTCAGGCTGGGCAGCTGTATTCTGTCAGAGAGAAGCTGTGAAGCTCTGTCCTCACTTCTCAGCTCCAGGTCCTCTAGTCTGAGAGAACTGGACCTGAGTAACAACGACCTGCAGGATTCAGGAGTGAAGCTGCTCTCTGCTGGACTGTGTAGTACAAACTGCAAACTGGAGACTCTCAGGTGAGATAGCAACGTGATGATTTAGTGTCACACGTCTTGTTTACAACGTAAACAATAGCTTATAGTCATATTGATTGAGGAACAGAGAAAATGTTTATCAGAATAGCAAACTATACATGATGCATAACTATTTATTACGTTTCTAAGGTATTTTTGATGAACTTGTGTTGGCACCTTTGCTTCATAAGAACAATCAATACGTGTACCTAAATTTCACTGGACACATTTGGGATGTAAGAGAAAATCCAAAAGGTAATTCTAAGTACTTATTTCTGTTTTAGGTTGAATCAAACCAAGCTCACAAAGACTGGCTGTCAGGTGCTCTCATCAGTTCTCACCTCCCAGTCCTCCCATCTAAGGGAGTTGGACCTGAGTAACAACGACCTTCTGGATTCAGGAGTGAAGCTACTCTTTGCTGGACTGGAGAGTTCTCACTGTGCACTGGAGACTCTCAGGTCAGATTTGTAGTACCAATATTTTTCCATTTTATTGTGCTTTTGTTTGAAATTATGCAGCAGAAAGTTTTAAAAGTCACCTGGAATAAGAATTTAAGAAAGTAAGATATATTCATTTTTTACAAATAACAATGTTAAAATAAGGTAATTTTAAAATCAGGAACATTTTCACATTGTACACAATAAAAACAATGTTTGTCTTTCTTTGTCACAAACTCTCCTTCAGACTGAGTGGCTGTAATCTATCTGAGAGAAGCTGTGAAACTCTGTCTTCAATTTTAAGCTCCCAGTCTTTTACTTTGAAAGAGTTAGATCTTAGTCAGAACAGCCTGCAGGATTCAGGAGCCACATTGCTCTCTGCTGGACTTGTGAATCGACCCTGTAAACTGGAGACTCTCAGGTTAGATCTCAAGTTTTCCTGTAAAAACAGAAACTGTGCCATGGTCTAGTTTTTGCATTGTATGCCTACTGCTTGAACATAACCTTATTTTTCACCGCAGTAACAAGATTGTATGTAACTATTTTCAACAATGTAGGTCATCCTGACCACATCCAGATCATCATATTTCACACTTTAAATCTTTAAACATTCAACTATTTTGTTTATCTATGTTTATCTTCATATTTGTTTTACACTAACGACTTTATTTTGTGGTAGTTTTCAGCCTCACTATCACATTTGTTTTATTGTACTCATTTAGGTTGAGTCAAACCAGGCTTACAAAGATATGCTGTCAGGGGTTATCATTAGCTGTCAGCTTCCAGTTCTCCAGTTTGAGAGAGTTGGACCTGAGCAACAACGACCTGGAGGATTCGGGAGTGAAGCTGCTCTCTGCTGGACTGGAGAGTCCACACTGTAAACTGGAGACTCTCGGGTCAGTACTCTTTTTTTAACAGATGTCACTGATGGTATCTAACAGGACATTTCAGAGTATACTTAGAAAAAGTGTCTGCAGGAAAAGTAGTAGTATTTCATAGTGCTGGGAACGGCCTTAAGCGGGGCCCCATTTTGTTGGGCACAACGGCGGGGCAATGTGTTGGTTAATAGCTAGTGTGAAATGAAATCATTGACCTCATTAGAATTATTAATAATTGCTAAGATAATTCTCAGTAAATAAATAACGGGGCACCACCCTAAAAAGGGACTAATAACCAAACTATAAATCAAGTCTCATAATTGATATTTACTCATTAAGGAATTGATGTCTGCGCCAAAAACACGTTACTCCACTTGTTGTTCTGGCGGTGAATTGCTCTGCAACACACGCAAACGAGTGTGCCGACGCAAACGAGTGCGTCGACACAACGGTGCGTAAAGACAAAGACGCAGAAGCATGCGCCAGCCTTCAGGCCTGTTTCACCCTGGGGGAGAAATCACACCTAGATGTGAAGGCACATTCCTTTCGGGGGTTTTATGTCCTGCAGCAAAACACTACATTTGAAAGTCAGCCTTGGTCTTACGCTATGGTGGAGCCCAACAATAGTGTTTGGGCTTTTCTTGAACAGGTTCACTCAGTTTATAATGTCAAATTATTCTGTTGGGTGAGGAAGTCTAACGTGTCTGTGTGTGTGTGTGTGTGTGTGTGTGTGTGTGTGTGTGTGTGTGTGTGTGTGTGTGTGTGTGTGTGTGTGTGTGTGTCTCCAGGCTTTCAGGGTGTCTGGTCACAGAGGAAGGCTGTATCTCTCTGGCCTCAGCTATAAGATCCAACCCCTTCCACCTGAGAGAGCTGGACCTGAGCTACAACCACCCAGGAGTCTCAGGAGTGGAGCTGCTGTCTGCTGGACTGCAGGATAAAGCCTGGAAACTAGAAACGCTGAGGTAAGAAGAGGTCCTGTCCCCACCGAGACTGACCTCCTTACTGGTCTTATACACATATAGATCAGGATTCAATGCCGATTATATTACAAAAACTACATCTCAGGTTGGGTTTGAGCTTCGTGGTGAAGTGGTTATCATTTGAAGGTTATATATTACTCATTTTCTGCTTTGTCTTTTCAGTCATTTAGCTTTTTTCAGAACTTTTCTTCTGCAGCATTCATTCATTTACTTTCATACTTTTTATTAGATTTGACTTACTACATCTGAGTGATTTGTTTCTTCCTTCAGGGTGGAACATGGTGGAGAGCATAGGCTGAAACCTGGCCTGAGGAAATGTAAGCGTGTGTTAGCTTTCGTTCAAAAAAAAAGGGCAGCGCATTTTAGTCAAGTGTGTCAGATGATAAACCTCTGCTGTATCGTTTGTTTTCCCTCCGTCAGATGCCTGTGAACTCACAGTGAACACAAACACAATGAACAAACACCTCAAACTGTCTGACAACAACAGGAAGGTGACAGTGGAGAAAAGGAAGCAGCTCTATACCTATCACCCAGAGAGGTTTGACTACTGGTACCAGGTGTTGTGTACCAATGGTCTGACTGGTCGCTGCTACTGGGAGGTTGAGTGGAGAGGAACCGTTGAGGTCTCGGTCACTTACAGAGGAATCAAGAGGAAAGGAAAAAGTGCCGACTGCTCGCTTGAAGGGAACAATCGTTCCTGGTGTCTAACCTGCTCCACAGTCGACGGTTATTCGGTTAGTCACAACGACAGGAGCAGCCGCCTGTCGCCCCCCGCCTCCTCCGGCAGAGTAGGAGTGTACGTGGACTGGCCTGCTGGCACGCTCTCCTTCTACAGAGTCTCCTCCGACACACCGGTCCACCTCTACACCTTCAACATCACATTCAGCGAACCGCTGTATCCCGCGTTCGGGTTCGGGTTGTTCGGTTCCTCCGTGTCTTTTTGTTCACTGTCAAAGGGAGAATCTCCTCCAGTGTAGGGAGACACACACACTGCTGTGCACACACAAACACACACACACACACACTGCTGTGCACACTCAAACACACACAGACAGACAAACTCAGTCATTTTAACTTAAGTGTTTATGGTTGTGTCTAAAGATTTAGATACGATCTGACTTTATTCATCCCCAAATGGGAAATTCAGAGATTGCACAGACACAATAAGAAAAGTATAGAAATATAAACTTTTAAAGAATCTAGAATCTAAATTACAATGCAATCACAACAAGAGAGCTAAATATTGGTACAATACCCTCTCAAGCTAAATTTTCATTTTAAACCGCAAAGCAAATTTAAAAGGGACATTATTTTACAAAATCTCGACTTTCTCTTTGTTTTCTGAAAATGTGATTTATTGATTGCAGCCTGGGCGGCACGGTGGCGTGGTGGTTAGCACTGTCGCCTCACAGCAAGAAGGTCCTGGGTTCGATTCCGCCCAGTGGCCTTTCTGTGTGGAGTCTGCATGTTCTCCCCGTGTCTGCGTGGGTTCTCTCCGGGTTCTCCGGCTTCCTCCCACAGTCCAAAGACATGCTCTGGGGATCAGGTTGATTGGGGACTTTAAATTGCCCGTCGTTGTGTGAGTGTGAATGGTTGTGTGTCTCTGTGTAGCCCTGCGATTGGCTGGCGACCAATCCAGGATGTACCCTGTCTATCGCCCGAAGTTGGCTGGGATGGACTCCAGCCCCCCCGCGACCCTGAGTGCAGGATAAGCGGTTTGACAATGGATGGATGGATGATTGCAGCCTGACTTCTCAACGACTTACTTTCACTCCCATGTTTCCCTTTCACACTGTAGTCATTTTCTGTATTAAGCCTTGTATGAAGTGATAACAGCACGTACCCTTTCACAATGTAGCATCATTGCTCACTGGTTGGCTCCACGACCACCCTCATCCCCCTATTATGAATTTGTATTTTCCTCTGATTGGTATTTTCTCAATTTGTAGTTTGCAGGATCCTATGTCACATCTAATAATAAACACAAAATAAAATCAAACAAGTTGGTTGGAGATAAATATTGATACAATAACCTGTCAAGCTACGTTTTCGTTTTAAACCGCAAAGCAAATTTAAAAGGGATATTTTACAAAAACTCGACTTTCTCTTTGTTTTCTGAAAATGTGATTTATTGATTGCAGCCTGAATTAGAATCTCAATGACTTACTTTCACTCCTGTGTTTCCCTTTCACACTGTAATCTTTTATTTATAATACGTTGAACACGGACTTACAGGGAACAGGGACTTACATGACACAGGGACTTACGGGGAACAGGGACATACGGAGAACAGGGACTTACGGGGAACATGGACTTACGGAGAACAGGGACTTACGGGAACATGGACTTACGGAGAACAGGGACTTATGGAGAACATGGACTTACGGGGAACATGGACTTACGGAGAACAGGGACTTATGGAGAACACGGACATTCAGGGAACAGGGACATACGGGGAACAGGGACTTACATGACATAGGGACTTACGGGGAACAGGAACTTACGGGGAACATGGACTTACGGAGAACAGGGACATACAGGGAACAGGGACTTACATGACACAGGGACTTACGGGGAACACAGACTTACAGGGAACAGGGACAAGGTTCAGGGTAGACATTCAAGGCATAACATGCAGGGTTGAACAATCAATGACGCGACAAGGGACAAGAGACACACATGGCTTAAATACACTGGGAAGGTGCAGGTGATTGGACACAGGGGATGACACGACAGGGCAGGATGGTTAACGCAGGAGCACCAGAGGCATGAAACAAAATAAAACAAGACGTGAACCCAAACCGTGACATCATGTGTTTTCCTCTCTGCACAGTGTCGCAGATCCTGTGTTAAGAAAATCTCTAGATTTGTGGTTAATGTTTGGCTGACCATCAGTGATTTGTAACGTCACCAGAAGGCTTCGCTTTGATGACAACATCTCGGAATCCCCAAATCACCATCACACTGGCATCAATGAGGCTGCGCACCCTGACTGACTCGTGTTGTGCAATTGTGTGTTTTTTCTTCGGATGAATGTGCAGGGGGCTCAGACAGAAAAAGAGGAACCCGAATGAGCTCAAAGAAAGAAATAATGTGACTTCTACGTCAGGCGCTTTCTGGGCGGATTTCGTCTTTCTTCATTTCTTGTAAACTTTCTTGACTAAACGCTGTCGACGGCTTCTTGTATCAAACCTCCAGGTGAGACAGTTTTTCTTTACTACTCAACATCTTTCATTCTTCTCCGCCTCTCAGAACTTTCACTTTCGCCGCACATTATTTTCTCCTTCCAGACCAAAGCAGTAAATTTTTGTATTTAAGGTCCTCATTTCCATGTTGCTGTTCCTCTTCCTTTTGTCTTTATTTTCTCTTTAGCTGTAGTGTTTGACACATTCAATTAGAAGTGTTTGACTCGGCTCTTGTGGGGTTTTTAGCAGAAGAAATAGGTTTGGGGCGGTGGTCAAGCTCTTAGCTTCTTGCTGACAAAGTGGAGGCTCGTTTGTTTGTGAGAAATCGCCCAATATTAAGTTTATTGTCCTGGATGCACCTGGAGCTTTTTACAAAATGAATCAAATCATCATCTTTTGATGATGTTGTATTTTTGGTATTCGCATTAATCATAAAGGCGTTAACTTACTACTATACTGATGTATTATTTTAGCTTTTGGAATCATTGGAGAACATTTTTCGTCCACATAGTTTTGTTGTATGTGTCTTTGGTGCATTTTACATGGACGGAAATGCCGCTGAATATTACAAATAGCGTCCATTACCGCGCAGATCCCAGTAGAGGCGCACTCTCGTTTGTGAGCAGCCGCTCTGAAGACCTGACGGCCGGCTGGTCGTTTCCGTACAGTCGGTGTGGGTAATGAGCTCCACCTAGTGGAATAATATCGGAACTACGTCAGCAGATGTGTGTTTTTCTCTGCCGGCTTTTCATCTCCCTCTAAATGTGGTTTAAAAATGTCCCCAAACGTGTTTATTTTATTTGGATCTAATTTGGTTTATTTTTTAACGCCGGTTTAGATAATTTTGGTGTTTGGGTTCTTGTTTACTCATCCTTCACCTGATCAACTATTTTAACAACACAACAAATAACACCAAAGATCTGACTGACCTGATTTCACAGAATTTTAATCTTTTTTATAACCAGTGAGCATCTGACAGCCTCTTGCCTACAGCTTTGAGATGGACGGGTGTGAGGAGACAGAGGAGGGATGCTCTCCCTCCAAACTCCCTCCGCATGAGGCTCAAAGGTGAGACGAGGAACTCAGTGTCTCCATTCTCCTCCCTCAGCAGCTCAGCACACAAACAACTACCTCAAGTCCCGAGTCAGAGCTCCATGTTTGTGTGTTGCATTTCAGCCCGGAGCGGCGGTGTAGGCCAGACTGTCACGGACCTGCATCCAGCTGCGTGTCCTTCAAGTCCATGGAGCCGCCTTTAGTGTTTGCAGTGCAGCTTCCAGCAGAGACCGAGTGAGTGAGCTCGCAGGGGAAAAAACACATATATTGAAATGACTTCTTGAGGCTGTTAGGGATTTAAGTAGAAGTGCACACCCGGTGGTAGAAATTTTTAGTGTAGAATTGTAGTTTGTGTGTTATTAGATATTAGTTATTACATTAGCATGTTAGATGAAGTGAATGCAATATGAATCAAACACAATGTAGTTATGTAAATCATATAAACACTGTACACATTAACATTCTGTCACAATGAGATGTCAAAACCTGGGGACGGATGCTAGTCGCCGTCCTTTATGGATTTCTCCCAATTTTCTCCCCAAAGAGGGTTTTTTGGGAGTTTGTTCTCCTGTAAGGTAGTAGATGAGCAACTGAATGTAAGACAGCCGATTGAGGCAAATGTCTTGAGAATTGGACCACATGAACTGTGTTAGATCTTATGATGTAGTGTGATGAACGGTGATCATTCATGGTGTGTTGTAATTAAAGTGTACTAGTTATAAGATGAATGCACGCTTTGTTATATTCACTCATTGAAGCATAAAGGCAAATGTATCTATATTGAATGCATTGGAATGTGAGGGACAGATAGGACAGAGAGGTTTCAGGTTGCAGCTGCAGCGTCACACCTCCATGTGAAGAGGACAATCCAGGAGGAGACACGTTTGAAGAGAAGCCAGTCAGTGTGTTTACATGATGGTATAATTCAAATTTTTGCTTTCAAATGCACCCAAAGAGACACACCTCAGGAGTTTTCAAAGGACAAGCGTGGAGAGAGGACGGGTAGAATTTTCCTGCAGTCACTTTTGACTTAGCCTAGATTTCTTTATTTCGCGAAATATTTTACTATTCGCATTGTATTTCACTTTGTAATTGTATTCCTTATCACCTTAGTTATTAAATTAAACTTTTTGATCTTTAAATTTGAGCAAGTTGACTCATCGTTTCCGGCCCGGACGAGAACAAAGGAGTGAGGCCTCCTCGCGTTGTTTCGCAACCCTTAACAAGGCCGGCTCTGAAAGCGAGTCGATCCCTTTAGACCTCTGCGTTAAAATGTCAGCAGAGTGAGAAATATTTACAACCTGGGGAAAAAAACAGATGGACTAACAATGCTGACAATTAAAGAAAAATATTGGATGCTGTCTCAACAACAACATTGAGCAGTTTTTTAATATTATATATAATATTATATTCAGCTATTCTATTACATTTCCCCAAAAGCAGCAAATGTATAATATTTTCCGTCATATTTTCTGTTTTCTCTGCAGGGTTCGGGAAGTTCCCGGTGACCCGTCCATCGGCCATCCTCAGATGGATTTGGAATCCACATTTGTGGTGTGTAAACACTGTAAAGGCTCAACACAAACTTTGACCTCAAACACCAAATGAAATAAACATTTATTTTATTCCAGCATCTTGAGGAAATCATTGTCGCCTTTGCCAAGAGCGAGCTGAAGACGTTCCAAAAAGCTCTTACCCATGATCACCCAAAGGGCCTAAATGGGCGGAGTGAGGATGAGGAGGTGTTGGAGGATGAGGGGAAAGAAAAGAGGAGGAGCAGCAGAGAGGCCTTTCTGAAGATCACACTGCACTTCCTGAGGAGAATGGGGCAGGACGAGCTGGCTAAGTCTCTGCTGAGCAGTAAGAGCCTTTTACACCCTCTGCTTCACTCATATTGACATGAACACCCACTGACTGATAATTTAATGTTCTCTATCCAGTATACTGTCAACGTCAACTCAAATCCAAGCTGCGGAACCAGTTCCAGTGTGTGTTTGAGGGGGTCGCTAAAGCGGGAAGTCCAACTCTTCTGAATCAGATGTACACAGAGCTCTACGTCATAGAGGAAGGGGCAGCTGGGGTCAACGATGAACTTGAGGTCAGACAGATTGAAACGACATCCAGGAAAGCAGACAGAGCAGAAGAAACAATCAAGTGTGAGGACCTCTTCAAACCCTTTCCTCGAAGACTAAAACCGGTCAGAACCATGGTGACAAAGGGAGGGGCCGGAATTGGAAAGACTGTCTTGACTCAGAAGTTCTCCCTGGACTGGGCTGAAGATGAAAACAACCAGGATATACAACTCATATTTCCATTCACGTTCAGAGAGCTGAATGTGCTGAGAGAGAAGATGTTCAGCTTGGTGGGACTTGTTCATCACTTCTTCAGTGAAACCAAAGAAGCAGAAATCTGCAGGTTGGAAGAGTTTCAGGTTCTGTTCATCTTTGACGGTCTGGACGAGTGTCGACTTCCTCTGAACTTCCAGGAAAATGAGATCCTGACTGATGTCACAGAGTCGGCCTCAGTGGACGTGCTCCTCACAAACCTCATCAGGGGGCATCTGCTTCCCTCTGCTCGCCTCTGGATCACCACACGACCTGCAGCAGCCAATCAGATCCCCCCTGAGTGTGTTGACATGGTGACAGAGGTCAGAGGGTTTACCGACCCCCAGAAGGAGGAGTACTTCAGGAAGAGATTCAGGGATGAGAAGCCGTCGAGCAGGATTATCTCCCACGTCAAGACCTCACAAAGCCTCCACATCATGTGCCACATCCCAGTCTTCTGCTGGATCACCTCTGCCGTTCTGGAGGATGTGATGGACACCAGAGAGGGAGGAGAGCTCCCCAAGACACTGACTGAGATGTACATCCACTTCCTGGTGGTTCAGATCAAACTGAAGAAGGTCAAGTATGACGGAGGAGTTGAGTCGGATCCACACTGGAGTCCAGAGAGCAGGAAGATGATCGAGTCTCTGGGAAAACTGGCCTTTGATCAGCTGCAGAAAGGCAACCTGATCTTCTATGAATCTGACCTGACAGAGTGTGGCATCGATATCAGAGCAGCCTCCGTGTACTCAGGAGTGTTCACACAGATCTTTAGAGAGGAGAGCGGGCTGTACCAGAATAAGGTGTTCTGCTTCGTCCATCTGAGTGTTCAGGAGTTTCTGGCGGCTCTTCATGTTCATCTGACCTTCATGAAATCTGGTGTCAATCTGATGTCAGAAGAAGAATCAAAGCCCTGGTGGTGGTTTCTGTTCAGAACAAAGCCAGAACCAGCAGATATCTACCAGGGTGCTGTGGACAAGGCCTTGAAGAGTCCAAATGGACACCTAGACCTGTTCCTCCGATTCCTCCTGGGTCTTTCTCTGCAGACCAATAGAAATCTCCTACGAGGTCTGATGACACAGACAGGAAGAAGCTCAGAGTCCAATCAGAAAACAGTCGAGTACATCAAGAAGAAGATCAGCGAGAATCCGTCTCCAGAGAGAAGCATCAATCTGTTCCACTGCCTGAATGAACTTAACAATCGTTCTCTAGTGGAGGATATCCAACAGTACCTGAGCTCAGAAGGTCTCTCCACGAATAAACTGTCTCCTGCTCAGTGGTCAGCTCTGGTCTTCATCTTACTGTCATCGGGGGAGGATCTGCCTGTATTTGACCTGAAGAAATATTCTGCTTCAGAGGAGGCTCTCCTGAGGCTGCTGCCAGTGGTTAATGCCTCCAACAAAGCTCTGTAAGTATGAACATATCAGCTAAAGATGAGTTGGTCCTTTCTTCTTAATTGGTTCTTCAGTATCTTTGTACCATCACAAATGAATGGAGCCATGTAATGAAAAGTATCTTCCATTTTATAGCTCATTTAAGGGTTTGATAAATTTGAGTAAGTCTCTGGGATAACAGATGAAGGGCAATTTAAAGGCAAGTACAACTGAAAAACCATGCTGCGTAATGGCAACCATAGAAATGTGTTTTACTGTCCCTCAGGCTGAGTGGCTGTAATCTGTCGGAGAGAAGCTGTGAAGCTCTGTCCACACTTCTCAGCTCCAGGTCCTCTAGTCTGAGAGAACTGGACCTGAGTAACAACGACCTGCAGGATTCAGGAGTGAAGCTGCTCTCTGCTGGACTGTGTAGTACAAACTGCAAACTGGAGACTCTCAGGTTAGTTTTAAAATATAGTTCGATGCATTTCATTTGTGTGTCAAATATACTCAACCTTTGCAGTATTTAATAAAAGCTGTAGTGACCATTTTCCTTCAGAAATTGTTAACCTTTCAAGAAGTTTCCTAATTTCTTTGAACTTTTCTTTCTTTTCCGCTACAATCATTAAAGCAGCAATCATCTTTTTTTTATACATCAAGGGATCAAACAGAGTCGCTCACAATGACAAACCATTATCATATAACTGCACCATCATCTCCTTGGACATTACATGGCTGATAGAGACTAACCGGTGGAACCAAGTGGAACCAATAGCAGCTAAAGAGACAGATTTCTTTTAAAGAGACTGTGAGGCCTTGGAGCCTTCTTTAACCTCATTACCCTGCACCCCTCCTCTGCAATTCGGTCTCTTGGTGCATCTTTAAAGATGTGTTTGTGGTGTCGCAGATGTCTGCTCTCTGCCTGTCAATGTTGTGTTTTAAAGCTTCCATTCCTGAGTGGTCGACAATCAATACAATACACATTTAAGTCAAATGGTTGTTGATCACAGGTCCTATTCCCATTTGACTGTATATTTATAATTCATTTCAAAGTAATGGACTTCTGAGTAACTTAAAAATTCAAAGTTAATTCACACTGACAAGGAATATAAATCGGTGTCTCCCCCTCTCTCTCCCTCTTTCTCCCTCCAGGCTGTCAGGCTGTCAGATCACAGGGGAAGGCTGTGTCTCTCTGGCCTCGGCTCTGACATCAAACCCCTCCCACCTGGGAGAGCTGGACCTGAGCTACAACCATCCGGGAGACTCAGGGGTGGAGCTGCTCTGTGCTGGACTGGACGATCCAAACACGACACTTCACACCCTCAGGTATGATGACCTCATCATTTAGTATTTTATGGTCTTCTTTTTCTTACTTTTTATTTTTTTATGTAAAGTTAATTTAAGTCCAAGGTTCACTGATGAGGAAGCTTTCGGAGGTTTGTTCTGACTTTGTTTAATCCTCCAGACTGGACCACCGTGGAGAGCAGTGGTTGAAACCCGGTCTGAGGAAATGTAAGTTTGTTTTCACCAACATGGTGGCTTAAATTAAACACTACACAACAAAGTCAGTCTGTTAATGAATGAAGAACAAACAAACCCATCAGATGTGTCGGGTGATAAACTTCTGCTGTTTTGTTGGTGTTCTCCCCGTCAGATGCCTGCGAACTCACACTGGACACAAACACAATGAATGAACACCTGAAACTGTCCGACAACAACAGGAAGGTGACACACATGAGAGAGAAGCAGCCGTACCCTGATCTCCCACAAAGGTTCGACTACTGGTACCAGGTGATGTGCACCAAGGGTCTTACTGGTCGCTGTTACTGGGAGGTCGAGTGGAGCAGAAGGGTCGATGTCTCGGTGGCTTACGCAGGAATCAAGAGGAAAGGAAACATTGCCGGCTGCAGGTTCGGAGGGAACGTTCAGTCCTGGTGTCTGTTTTGCTCCGATGACGACGGTTATGCCGTCTGGCATGATAACAGGAGAACAGATCTCCGTCGTCCCTCCCCCCCCTCCGTCTCCTCAGTCCCTCACAGACTGGGAGTGTATGTGGACTGTCCTGCCGGCACTATGTCCTTCTACAGAGTCTTCTCCGACACACCGGTCCACCTCCACACCTTCAACGCCACATTCACTGAGCCTCTTCACCCCGGGTTTGGTTTCTGGTTGCCCGATACCTCGGTGTCTCTGTGTCCACTGCAGGAGCGAGAGAGTCCTCCCCCGTCTGGATGACGAAAAGGATGGACGGGGTGAAATGTGCCGGATGCATGGAAGCAGCAGCCATGATAAAAGTTGGTTGGATTCTCTAAATGCAAAGTAAAGGTGCTTCAATGCTTCCTTGCTTATTTCCTTTAGCATAGGGAACACGGCACCACAGCAACCGGTCCACAGCATTTAAAGCGAGGCTGCTAAACACTTTCCTTGGCTGTTTAATTGCACAATATGGATACTACATAGGAAGTGTGACAAATAATCCTTGATTGAGTTGTACAGCCGGGAATTTGTCAACAGACTTAAATAAACACCATAGAGATAATTATTAAGTCCTAAAGGCTTGTTATAGAGGGGCAAGCCCCGCCCCGTAATTGTCAGCCAAATCCGATGTTTTTTAAGTTCTAACAAAAAATGCACTAAGAGTCCCATTTTGTTGAGTAATCATATTTCTGTGAAGATATGTAGTAAAGGTGTGTCAGAGTTTCACCTACAACACATTCACTGAACATCTGCATCTTGGAATTGGGTTCTGGTTTAATCCATCAATGTTTTATTTACCTTCGCCCTAAAGCAGCTTCCGTTAAGTGTGTTTTGGAAGTTCAATGTGCAGAGGTCCAACAGCTTCATGTCCTTCAAAATCCTTTGCAAAGTCCCTTTTTTTCGTGCAGGATGAGTCATCTTTCAAACTATTTTAACCAAGAGAAAATATTTGGATGAAAAATACTCCAAAAACCATTTTTTGCACATTTATTTTGCATATGTATTTCAAAATTAGTTTTTACTTGAAACTCCGTCATTATTTCTGTCCATTTTTCCAATTCCCTTGAATGTTTGTATGCTGTTTGTGAAACTGCACATGTGCCATGGTTATCAAATAAACTGATAAAACATTCCCACAAAAGCCTGACGGTCACGTGACTACTATAAACGCCCATAGGGATGCCTGACTGTAAAACGTCATACAATTACTAACGCGTTCAAAGGCTTCCTTTGAATTAATGTTGGACGCAGTAAACTCTACGTGATAACAAACACACCTCACGTTCTAAAACAAAGTTTAAAGGAGTCGAGCTGCCCCGTCGATTAACGCTGCGCGTCATAACGATCAGGCAGCTGGTCAGCCACCTCCATCCGCGCGTCATGCTCCGCACCGGAGAAACAGCTGATCTCTGAAGGTGAGAGCGACTCTATTATATCATCACAGGTTCGTTTGCGGGGTTTAATGTTTTTGCCAAAGTTTTATTTCTGTGTCTCAGCCGCGTAAACCGACAACTAAAAGCTCCGAGCTGGTCGGCTAACCGCACGCTAGCGCCATGCTACAGCTAGCTTACACAACCGTTAGCATGTTAGATAACTGCTGCAATCAGTGTTTCGTTGTTATTTTGCTTTATTATTAAATGACTGGACAATGTTGGCTTGTTTCTACGGACACAAGTTCTCCGAGGCAACGCGGTCTAATGTCAGTGGTCAGATAATTTAGGTACACGTACATTTACCACACTGTAAACATACTACTAATGTTAATTAAAACTTCTCAGTCGAGGTGATACTTCAGTAAAAGTACCTGAACATGTATTTAAAGTGCAAAACAAAACTCTAGGGGAGAGTTTTTTAGTTTGTGCTGCTGTTGCATCACACAGAGGCCTTCGTTTATACAATGAACAGAAACCCTGTCTGCATAATACAGTTCAACTGATTGATTAATTGATTCCGGGATAATTAGAGCTTAAATCTGAAAAAGTTTCAGCATAATTAAAGAGCCCTAGTTGGATTTTTTTATTCACTTAATAGATGGTTAAACCTCTAAAATCAGTGATCAGAATAAAATGGTTGTTACATCTGGTTCAAGCTCGTGAAAACAACAACGTTAATTACAATAAACAATCTGTGTACTATGAAGAAAATAAAAATAATCCTGTGTCTTCTCCTATTTGCCCAACATCCTATTTTATTAGCGATCCATTGTCTGCTCTTGTTTGTACTGCGGGTGTTGTAATCACAGCAGCAGCCTGAAACCTGCTCTCCTGTTTCCCAGCCGCTCCGTCATGGGCCTGCGGTCGTTCTGGCACAGCAACAAAGTCCTGATTGTGATGGGAACGAGTCTGGGACTGATCCACTGGGGCTGGTTCAACCTGAAGACGAACCCACATCTGCGCAAAACCAGGGACGAGTACGTTCCTGAGCCCGGCATCGTGGCCTACGTCTCTCCTCCCGCTGCCGCCAAGAGCAAGTGACCCACACTCAGGTTTGACCTCCGATTGGCCCCGCAGCCGCTTCCCTGTGCTCAGATCACCCAACGCCACCCCTGCTGAGGCGCGATGGGCTGCAGTTCCTCTGCTGTCCACCAGATGACGCTCCAAGAAAACTCCTCTTTGGAGGCAAATGGGGAAAACCCCTCTGATTCCCTCCAAAATACCAATTTAATGCAGGTTTTACACAGTGTTCCCTTTGCACTCAAGTTACAATTTTTCTCACTTAAAATGTGGAACCAAGTCGATTTTTCCCCCCAAAAATTCAAGACGTCTCGGATTACAATTAGTTTAAATCACATTATGTGAATAACGCAAATGTCTCTGCTGCCACGCACATTGAAGGCCACGGCGCTTAAATCAGCCAGCAAATCGAAACTGATCGTGTCCCGATAAACTCTCTGTCCACAAGGCAAAGCGACCATTTCTAAAGCTGCTCTGGTTTCATTTAAGTTTTAAGTCTGAGGTGCATGTTGGAGAGACTAAAGACTCCTCACGCAGAAATCTCACCACGGATCTTTTTTCAATTTGTTTTCTCCGTCAAACTCATGAAGCCGTCTAGAAGGTGAGACTGAGGCGTGAAAACAAATGTCACTTTACTCTGTAATTTAACCTCGTCAGAGCGGCGTCATACTGGAGGCGCAGAGAAAGACACACTAAAAAATTTCTTTATAATTAAATGAAAAACAAGTTGGAATGATGAAGATGAATACAAGTGATCTTCATCACCTGCTGGTCAGCAAACAGCCACGAGAACCAAACACCACAAGATGGCGATCAAAGTTCTCCAGCCTATAGAAAAAAAAACAGAGCACAAAGTTAAATATGACCAAACCTGAAAACACTGTGATGACAGAGGGGATCGAAGGCGGGAGTTTGTTTTTTCCGGCTGCTGGTTGGCCGTCTGGTGTTAATGACTTGAGTGGATTTCTGCCTCAATAAGAAGCGTCTGGTTCTCCCGTTATGTGTGAGATCACACTCATAATCAAATGCACTACTGTGGTGTCTCTTCATGCGAATCCCTCCGCTTTAAGAACTTCAGGGTTCGCCTGTTCACAGAAAACATGGAAAAGTTGTAGAATTTTAAAAATAGCCTGGAGAAGTTTTGGAAAAATGCTTGAACACAGAAAGATTTGGAAAAACAATCGGAATGTGCTTCAAAATTACCTACAAAATAAGAGAATATGGGGCTCAGTCTCTATTGGTTAAACAACGATGTCCAAACATGCTATTTTATTCCTACGTTTGAGAGAATCTACAGCGGGAGAAGGTCCCTGAAGGTCTTGTAATGTGTGTGTGTCCTGCAGAGGAATGACGCCTCGGAGCTGGCTCAGGAGGAACTGGCTGTGGGCCGCCGGCGGCGCCTTCGTCACCGTCCACTTGGCCACCTGGGCCGTGCAGAGAGCCGCGAAGAGCGCCGCGCGCTCTGAGGCCGCACGCCATCAGGAGCCGCCGCACTGACGCTTTTGGCACTTCTTCTTTTTTTTTCTTTTTTTTTTTCACACTCCTCAAAAGGACGGACGGAGGCCGGCGTTGGTTTGACGCGGCGGAGGAACCCGACTCAGACTTTGAATATCAGATTGTGAATCACAAAGCTGATGTGAAAAAGCAGCTCTGTTCAACAGTTTTTATTTAATTCTAGGTTGTTGAGTGAGGTGTGATTTATTGTAAATAACAATAAAATTATCAAGTACGAAGCAAATTGAGTGATCATGAAGAAAAATGCACACCGATAGTCTATTAAGTGTCCAATTTTATCCCTTGTGTTTGTTAGCTGACACGAAAAACAAAGATTCCTGTTCAATAAATGATTCTTTATAACTAGAACTAACTAATGAAGATTACTAGATTGTAAAATCCTAATATTCACATGAGTTTCTTAAATAAAACGATATAAAAGAGTAAATTCTATATTGTTTTTATTCATATTGAGACTCAAACAAGCAGTGAACGTATCTACAAACTAGAGCGTGTGTGTGTTTTCCAGTCCAGATGTGGCGTGTCTATTAATCTCCATTCACTGCTCTGGTGAGTATTCGTTGGCAGCAGGACGGGAGACGGATCGGTTCTCTGTGGGACGTTTCCTAACCAGAGGAAGTCTCTTTGCACGAGACTCCCACAGCTCATGATCCCCTGAAGTCGCACAAACTTGGTCTTTTAGCTCCGCTGCTGGTCAGACGTCATGATTTGGGGTTTTCGTCTTGTTTTCACACGCACATTTTACACACGAGTCAGACTGGAACATCTGCCCCCAAATCGGACCAATTCGTCGAGGAGGCTGAGAACTGGCCGCTGGCTAGAAAAGTAATCACAAAACCTCCTCTGGGGACCATGAATGAAGGCACCTTGTTTCCATGACAACTCCTCCAATGGCTGCTGAGATATTTGGACCAACCAACAGCAGAGAAGCAAACTGAACTTCTCTGCATTCGCTTTGTTTTACAAATCGATACCGTAACGAGGTTCCATAATTAAACGGCAGCTTTTGTTTTGCTGAAGCAGAATTTGATTACTCCTTATCGCGTGTCCAGAGAGTCGTTGATCATCCTTAAGACCGAGCCCGAAGCGCCGGAGGTCATGTGATCCTCTGCAGGAGATCTGCACGACCTCCAGAGAACTCTCGAGAAAAGCAGAACCGTGTTTTATTTTGCATTTAACTCCCAGAAATCAACAAAACGGCTCGAAATAAAGACAGCAGGGCTTAACAGAGGTAAAGAATGGACACCACGATTATGTACGCAATGTAAATACAAAAACAAATGTATCTAAAAAGCATCAGTCCAACCATATAAATGCTGCAATAGTGCAGCATGCAGGATGCTGGATGGACAGAAGCTACTCGAGGGAGGTGAGGAGACAGTTATGAATCATTCATTAACTTGGCCGGTGTGACCCTTTGACCTGCAGATGTCGGCGTCGATCTCCTCCAGGAGCTCCACGTCAGAGGCGTCCAGCCCTCCTGCCGCTGCGCCTCCGGTACGCGCTGGACCCGTCGCTCCTCGGCGCCGACGTCTCCGTCCGCCGCGGGCCTCCGGGAGGTCAAAGGCCAAGGGCGCCAAGATGCCGAGGATCCCTTTTAACTGGTGGGACCTTAAACTGGTGAGATTCCGTCCAGGCTGGCGAGCCCTTCCTCGCATCCCCGTCGCTCAGGTTTTGTTCATTCGGCTTTATGTGGCTGTGGACGCACACGCGGATTTACAAGCAAACGGGAAGAATTGAAAAAGAAGAAAAGACAACAAGAAAAGGAAAGAACAGAAGTAAGTATGTACACACCTGAACAGGAGGTCAGCTGGCGTCGTCGTCAGTCTCGCTGTGGTTCCATACCTGTCCACCGGGAGGCCTCAGTGAGCTCCAGGTCAGCTGCTGCACACTTAAATACGCTGTTCAGTGGGTCCCATGCGCTGTTTTAAGTGCATAGGACCATTTCTATCCGTTTTACATGTTTACGTCCAGACGGACAGAACTTTTTAAATCCTTTTTCTTTCTCAGCTCCCGTACACTGCTCTCTACCTGGTCCAGTGTTGTCGTTAATCATCCGCTAACTGTGACGTTGTAGTCGGCTTCCTCGGGTCCATACTCGACTGGCTTTGGAGCAGGCAGGTGGAGACCAAAGACGGAGCTGGAAGAGGGAGCGCGACGACGT